AGGAAATAGATTTATTTTCTTCTTCAATGCTTTAAGTTCTAGATATATAGTTATATTTTTCTGAATCCAACTTGCTTTTTTCCTAAAGATCTTAAGATCTGTATAGTTATACCTTGAAGAATTGAAATAAAGCTGGGGGGAAATCTGAAAGAACCTTACACTTCTTTTTAAAAAAATTAAAAAACCATTACAAGTTATTATTAGAAGCCAGCTGTCCGGCTTAATCATGATTCTATGACTTCATGATACAATGTAGTGCACTTGAATAATAGTAAATGCATGTTCAGTATAAAAATACTTTAAGACATGTATTCGTCTAAAAAGAAATATCATAGTGTTTAATGGTACCAAAAAAAATTCCCCACACATACATTCTTAAAATGATATAAAAATGCCAGATTACTTAGGATTTAAACTAGTTATTGTAATGAAAATATAATGTTACTTTTAAAGTTACAGATATTTGTTAATGAAGAATAATGACCCTGGACAATTAGATTAGAAAGTGAGCAAGGTCAAATGGTTAAGATGTGGGCTGTAAGGAATGTACAGCAAGTCACAGGAGACTTACTGTACTTGTGTATCAGGCTTGCTAAATGTATATAACCTTGGTTAAACCTATCATGTGATGATTTCAAGCTGCTATTTTGAACATGAGCTCTCTGAATCAAGAGAAAGGACTTAGACCAAGCTTCTTAAAGCAGCATGCCCAGGGATTTTCAGAATCACTGCAGGTTTTCCTAGAACACTGACTCCCAAGGATACTGCTGCATATTTACCTCAAAGGAGATAAAAGCTAGTCTGTCTGCAGCTGTGCTGTGGTCTGTCTCTCACATACACACAACAAGAACTACATTCATTCCATTGTCTTTCATGACATTTTCCTGCACATCTATTTGAGTTAGTATGTGTCCTTGTTCCCACACAACTGTGTTTCCTAGATAACATGCATGCAAACAAATCCCGTAAGCCCTGATTCAAGCCAGAGAGCAAAACGGCTGGAGTAAGCCCATGGACACATGTTTATTTTCCATGTTGTTTGAAGCACAAATTATGTTGCTAGGTTTAGTCAAGGGATTTGCCATTTGATGAATGAAAAGCTATTGATAGCTCTGACATGATTTCTACTTAATCTTCTCCAAACCCAAAGCGTGTGGATATATCCCTCAGGCTTTGATACTAAGCTTACCTAAGTCAAAGCAGGTTTACAACGTGAGGTTTTGGTTCAGTTGCTGGTGTTTAAAACTTTAAAGTGTTTATTTAATTCACACTTTCCTTCAGGCAGAGATGGAAAGCTGCCTGGTATGTTGCCAGAAAAACCTGCAAAAATGCCTAGAAGAGCACCCAAGTGTTTGCTTTCCCTGCCCCCCCCCCTAATATAGACATAAGGAAAATGCTGCAATTAGTCTCAATGCCTTCCTTTTTTATCTTATTTTTACTTTTAATCTGTTTTCGGTATTGCTGTTTCATATGTTAACCAACCAGCAATGGGGGAATTGTGCCTTTTTTCAATTCCTCTATAGATCTAAGTGAGTTTTTTTTCTCTTCTGGTATTGCTTTATTTTTATTTCAAGGTGCACTGCTTTTAGCTCCACCTGCAATTGTGCGAATTTGCACTGTGAATGCTTCACAATTACAGGGTGGGAATGCATGATTGCGACTTTTTTGCCGCTTTGCTTTTTAATTAAGACCATCTGTGAGCGTAGTAGGTAAGCCACACCCTTTCCATGCGACTGCGCAGCAGCAGCCCTAGGGTGTTCAGGCATTATGGGAAAACAATGCTTGGAGATCAGATTGGGACCTGTCAAGCTAAAGATTCTAAAAGCTGCACATGCACAGTGGACCTACATATACCTTTTGGTTTAGGCTGCTCTCTCCTGACAGACTGGCACCTATTCCAGCACTTTATGTCTGAAAAGGCAACTACAGTCATACCTGAAAAGGCAACTACAGCCGCTTCAGGTTGCGTTTTTTTGGGTTGTGGACCACCAAAACCCGGAAGTACCGGAATGGGTTACTACTGTATTTTGGTGGTCGTGCATGCGCCGAGTCGCAACCCGTGCGTGCGCAGATGCAGGTTGTGAACGTGCATCCCGCACGGATCACGTTCACAAACCAAGCATCCACTGTATTGCATATACTTTTTGGAATATGTTACATTCAGAGTGCAATATCCAAGGCTCACATTAGGGCAGGGGTGCAAGAGCCTTCAGTGAAATCCTATCTTCTGGGTACTCTCCCCACCACAACCATTTTAAACCAAATTATGCCTGCTATAGCCATCTAAACACAGGAGCCAATTCCTAGGGGCTGTGGTCCCTTTGCCCCCCCCATAAAATATTTGAGGGGGTTGCCCCCAAAGTTAATGAGCATTCCCATTCAAACAGTGTGCATGCACCACACCTTGTGATCAATTATGGGGGGGGGCTACCTCTTTCTTCTAAAACAGCTGCTAAGGGACCTATCAAAAAAGGTAACAGGACCGGTCCCTTCTGCACCCTGTAATTGAACATTGTAAAAACACTCTGGAATATCTTTTATCAGGAATCTGATAATTAAAGGAAAATTGTTTCCCATGGGGGGGGGAATCCATGTAATTCGTCTATAAGTTAAGTTTGTTAATTATTTTTCTTGTTTTGAAAAGAATTGCTTCATCTAATTTTCCTTGCTAGCCTTTTTCAAGGCTAATAGGGGTGAAATTGTATGTAACATATTTTGCTTTAGAAATATTTGATAGATTTGCTGTCATGAAGAAAATGAAAGTTGTAAAATCAAAGTAAATACTTTGGGCGCATTTTGTGTGTCATTGTGACAAATAGTACTTGGTTTTCTAAATGTAACTGGATATGTTCCGCTTCTAGATAGCATTTCTTTCAAAATCATTTAGCCTTCACATGACTATCACATTTATGTTGTGAGAATAGCAGTTTGTTTATATAACACTCAGCCACTACCGGGATTTTGGAGAAAATTTTATAAAGCACTTATTTTATTTGTGTGTGTGTTTTAGAGTGTATATTATAAGAAATATATTGTTTTAAATTTAAATTTGAATGAGAGAAAAAAATACAATTTAATATAACATGTTGTAGCCCTTGGAAAACAAAGTTAATTTGTATTTAGTTGCTTATGAAACTTATGTTCCAAAAGCAGCCAAACAGAATTGTTAATTTTCTAACAAGGTACTTCTAACAAGGTTTCAGTAAAGGCCCCTGCAGATTAGTAAATCTGTTCCTACTGAAGTTGACAAATGGCTGTTTGAATATGTGAACCAGCCACTTCTTTTCTCCACATGATCCTTTCCATCATGTGGAAGGTCCTGTGGAGAAGTATAAGTGCTGAAAGCCCACACCTGTTTTCTATGCAATCCTGTATGTGGGAGTAAAGAAGTACTTAATTGTACAGGGAAGAAAAAAGAAGCAAAATAAATTGGCCCAAAGATTTTTAGGGCCAAGTTTTTTTCTGTTTTACATTCAGCTTTTGTTTTGAGCTGTGCCAATGGTTCGTTGTGGATATAGCTTAACCACAAAAGACAATACACTGTTCTGCATCAATTATGTTGTTAGAGATTAAAATGTTGGCAAAAAATAGTGCAATCTTGGGTCGGGGGAAAATGCGATAGCCCCACATGAAAAGTTATGCACTGGTTAAAGAGGTCTGGATTCCCCATAACAACTACACAGTTGTTGCACTAAGAAAAAATAACCTGAAAAATTCTGAATAATAGCTCATTTCTTTGCTAATCAAGATAAAAGTTAAGGTGGCTATTTGTTGTTGTTGTTGTTGTTTAGTTGTTTAGTCGTGTCCGACTCTTCGTGACCCCATGGACCAGAGCACGCCAGGCACTCCTGTCTTCCACCGCCTCCCGCAGTTTGGTCAGGCTCATGTTTGTAGCTTCGAGAACACTATCCAACCATCTCATCCTCTGTCGTCCCCTTCTCCTTGTGCCCTCCATCTTTCCCAACATCAGGGTCTTTTCCAGGGAGTCTTCTCTTCTCATGAGGTGGCCAAAGTATTGGAGCCTCAACTTCACGATCTGTCCTTCCAGTGAGCACTCAGGTCTGATTTCCTTAAGAATGGATGCGTTTGATCTTCTTGCAGTCCATGGGACTCTCAAGAGTCTCCTCCAGCACCATAATTCAAAAGCATCAATTCTTCGGCGATCAGCCTTCTTTATGGTCCAGCTCTCACTTCCATACATTACTACTGGGAAAACCATGGCTTTAACTATACGGACCTTTGTTGGTAAGGTGATGTCTCTACTTTTTAAGATGCTGCCTAGATTTGCCATCGCCTTTCTCCCGAGGAGCAGGCGTCTTTTAATTTCGTGACTGCTGTCACCATCTGCAGTGATCATGGAGCCCAAGAACATAAAATCTCTCACTGCCTCCATTTCTTCCCCTTCTATTTGCCAGGAGGTGATGGGACCAGTGGCCATGATCTTCGTTTTTTTGATGTTGAGCTTCAGACCATATTTTGCACTCTCCTAATAGGTGGCTATTATCAACGGCAAACACTACTTGGACCAAAATGGGTACCAAGAAGTCTTTTCTTTCTCTTAACAGCACTACATTTTGAAAGAACTACTTCTACTGTAAAAAGAGTAGTGCTACAGTAAAAAATAATGCTACAATTCACTCTTACATCTGAAAGCATTTTGTTGTTGTGTTTAGTACTCCCAGTGTGTTCTGAAAACTGAGCTGTAGAGTCCAAGACTTCAGAAATAGGGTTTGTAGAGATACGTTTCAGATTTTTCTATGTATATTAATCTCACAAAAATGTTTTCCTACTTGGCAGTGCCTTCTGTATGATGTGGTCATGAAATAAGATACATTTTGTTAAAAGCATAAGCCCTTGTTTATAATATTTGTACCTAAGAGTGTGGTGCTCAGATGTAAAAGCCCAACTACTTCTGTACAGAAAATTACGAGAATAAAGATGCTGTTTAACAATGCAGACTATTAAGTAACATACTCATGATCTTGCCTGTGATCATGCAGGATGAAGAAGCTGAAGGAGACCCTGGTGGCAGTCCAGCAGTTGGATAAGAACATGAGCATCTTGAGATCTTGGCTTGCCCACATTGAGTCAGAATTGTCCAAGCCCATTGTCTATGAAACCTGTGATTCCGAGGAGATTCAAAGGAAACTAAATGAGCAGCAGGTAAAACAAAAATCTGAGGTAGAAGAACAAAAAAAAATCATGAAACACCCACACTCCCCATTGCACAAAGGTGAGAGTGATCCAAGTATGGTACAGGCTTGGGCCTGTTGTATCCAGCTCAATATTGCAAGAGGGCAGTGAGAGGAAGATGCCCTTAAATTTCATGGCAGGTGATGCTTATAGCATTACTCTGATAGAGTCTTCTGCTGTCAACATGGAACTGCTCACTGACCCTACCAAATGAGGTAAGGCACTGTGATGTTATGTCCAGAATGTCAGCTTCTGCTGTAATTAGCTTTTCATTGTGTGGGAGTTTTGGAGTGGATTGCAAGGCACTGTTTACTGCCATAGACTTAGAGGAAGCCTTCTGTGTTTGTACACTGCAAGCATTATAAATGCCTGAGACTCTCCATACTTGGAGATGCCAAAAGATATGTTCATCGTTGGCTGTTTTTAAACCTGTGCTGTAATTCCTTTGCATGCAGGGTTGCATGAGCTATACAGAAATAATGTTTCACTTCCAAGCTTGTGCATAACCTGCAGAGCCATGAACACAGAACAAGAAGAATGAAGGGGGGGCGGGACCTGAGCCATTGTTAAGATGTTGAGCATTCATTGTATTGTTTTTTGGTTATATGAATCTGTAGCCCTAAAAATGCCCTTTAGAGATCTCAACTCGCCGTTTTCTTTCCATACATTTACTTAATCATAAGGTTTTCTTCTTGTTTTTAAAATAATTTTCGGCATACCCCATTCTAAGTGCTTGCTTAGAAGAAAAAAATCCATATAGGAGTCAAAGAATCATAGCTTTCTCACTACAACTGAAAAGCTACTTTTGGCAAGACCCAACTGTAGCTTTTACAATGTCTAAAGTGAAAAGGTTGAGCACAAATTTACTCATCACCTTTACACTGGATGGATGGATTAGTCTATTTTGGGTCCACATCAGTTTTGCATATGACCATTCATAAGTCTGTGTTTCTACATTAATCTGCAGCTTTAAGAAAGTGTCCTAACAAAAATGTGCATTTGGATTAGATAGATAGATATAGCTATATCACAAAATTTCTACATGTATTTTGTCCTAAAGTTAAATGCAGTGTTTTGGGTATTTTCTTTAATGAAAGAACTGCAAAATTCAGAGGAATGCAAAATTTGATTCACACATTAGTCCAGGAGATGTTGCATTTTGCAAAGTTAACCCCCCCCCAAAAAAAAAGCCGGCATGGGCTGGCGGGGAGAGGGCAGATCGTTCCATCTGGCAAGCAGAAATGCTTGGGCTGATAGAATGATCGCCTTGGCATGATGTTGAATTCCACCCCTGGTGTCTTCCTGATAGAGCTCACTATATTGGAACTTTTCCAGTCAGTCTGCTTCTCCAAAGCATGTGTCTTCAGGAAACATGCCACAGGGCTAAGATTAATAGTGAAACCCTACCTAGAAAGTTAAATGGACCTCACTTTCAGGTAAGTGTACATAGGATTGCAGCCTCGGGGTTTAAAGGCCAGAGACTGCCTACAATGAAATGTATGATGTAGATTTTACCTGGGGCATACAGGTACATATGGGCACAAAATTATAGTACCTGGTTAATATCTAGTCACCTATGCAGATGTTTTTCATTTGGAAAAGATCACAAGAATACTGTATGTGCACATGCACAAAAAATAAGAAAAAAAGCTTTAAATACGGAAAAATATAATACTCTGTAATGCTATGAACTAAGTTTCACTGAACTCAGTGAGACTTATTTCTGAGAAGGCCCCAGAAAAAGGATTGAACCATTAATATATTTTCTGTGGGGGTCATTCTTTACCCCAGAGGCATATATCTTGCAAATCCTGCAAGCTAGTGACTCTGCAGCTTTGCCCAGACACTAGTACTAATATATTCAAAGTAAAACTAGGTACCATTTAGTCACAATTATACTCTGGCATAGCAATGTATCTAAAATGGGTTGAATTTGTACCCCACAGTCAAAGGGGACAGAGTTGAAACTAACGGACCTAACTTAGTCATCAATTTCAGTGGCCTACTCTGAGCTTTTCTTTCTTTGACAATCACTCATGGCTGAGTAAGATTGCCTTCCATGAAAACATGTTTGTATTACTACTTAGAGCACTGCTCCTGGTGTTTTATTTCCTGTTAGACACACACACACACACACACACACACTATTCAAGGAATGGAAGAGAAGAAAGGGCATAGTTTGAAACATGGGAGGAAACTAAACGTTTTGGAGAAATGTAAACAAGGCAAAATGTTGTCAAGGAAGGAGTGTGAAATGTTACTGGAACTTCAAACCAAGTGACATCTTCTCACTGGAAACTTGTCCCATAGTTATAGCTATTCTTGCTTCACAAGAATAATTCCAGGGTTTAGAAATTTTCAGTAATCTGAGAATTGTTGTTGTACTGTTCAAGTTTAGTCCAGAAGGGATACTGTAAACTGTTGAATCACATGCTTAGGGTTAACTTCTTTTATGAGGATGATTCCATTGCCATATGACCCACCCACCCATCCATCCATTTAGTAATTTCCTTTTGTACTGCAGATATCACCATGTACTGTATACCACACATGCGTCTCACACTAACCTTTTTATCTATGGAATTGTTTCCAGCCAAAGCTGGCCCTTGAGGAACACATACCATCCTGTATTTTACATTAGCCTGTATTTTAAAATAATATAGTCTATATTTATCCATATTCCTCCAAACAGGGATCATATGGGACCATGTATATATGGCACAACATAGCAGATACAACCCAGAAGGCACCATTGTTCACATCAGTAATTCTTGTCTGAGGCAGCTCCTGTTGAAGTTAACAGAAGATGCACACTTGCACTGTTTTGTGAATTGTTACTAGATAATTTTCTAGATCAATTAGGCTCTGATTTGATAAACAAAAATCAATATTTGTTAATCAAAAATGTTCACTAGTTATTAAAATTAAGCTACTTGCCTTTGTTGGCATATTAAATATTGTAAAACTTAGTTTAACATAACTCCCTTTAATTCCAGACTTTAAGGTTTGTATAAACTATGCTAACTACTTACCACAATAAGTTCCCAGCTGGTTAATGATAGAGAAGTGACGATAAAGGCTAAACAAAGACAATTTTAGTTTTCAAATCAAGTCGTTGCAGGGAAGCACTTTGGGTGCTTTGAAGTGCCACTCAGTTGTCTGACACCTGAAAGTGAAGTTACTCAGAAATTCAATTCATTTGATTGTATAAGGATTGTTATTTCATAATTCAGCAGAGAGGTTTAAGAGGATTTTCAGGGTTCAAAGAACTGCTCCTAGATATACTCAATATTAAATTGAAAGAAAGGAGTGCTTTGTGTAATCCATAATATGTATATCAATGTTATCAGCATAACTTTTTCCTTCTTTTTAAGCAAAAATATTTGTGCTAATATAGCTAGTACAAAAGGCTTTGCTTTACTTTTACTTTAGAAGAACACAGGTGGGTAGGTGTGGTGACTGACTGCTTCCCTCTCCTCCCTAAATGTCACTATTTCAGTGGACCTTACTTTTCAGTACATGCACTTAGAATCTGAGTCAAAAACTGTTGGACAAGTTGATAACCACTCATCATAGAATGGCTTTTTTGTAATCAATTGCCAAATAGGCTGCTTTCATCCATTTCTGTTCCAAGTTTGCCTTGCTTGCTTCTGCTGCATATTTTTTTAAAGCTTGCCTCCTCTTTTGTCTAAGATGTTTACAAGTTCATCTGTTGACCTATAGGAGCTGCAAAGGGACATAGAGAAACATAGCACTGGAGTTGCATCTGTCCTCAACCTTTGTGAAGTTCTGCTCCATGACTGTGACGCCTGTGCCACTGAAACAGAATGTGACTCCATCCAGCAGGCCACACGGAACCTGGACCGAAGGTGGCGGAACATCTGTGCTATGTCAATGGAAAGGAGACTCAAGTAAGCGCTCAACCCAGAGAGTCCTCAGATGATTCTCAGTATTTCTTAGAATGGATGAAACCTTGTCAGTTCTGTATTCAACAGAGTACCCACTGCTGGATCTTGGCCCAAATCTTTGGGCTGGATCTAAACATAGAGTTGTGTGCATATAGTTCAAGCAATCTGATTGTGCATATATAGTTCAAGGAGTCTGTCACTGCTGCACATCCTAAAAACATGTGTTTTGCATGCAAAAGATCTCAGGCTCAATCTCTAGCATATCCATTCAGGGCTGGGAAAGACACTTCTCTAAAACCCAAGAGAGCCATTGCCAGGCAGTGTAGACAATGCTGAGCTAGATGGGTGATTGATCTCTATATAAGGTAGTTTCCAACATCACAGTGAATGTTTTGGGGTGTTGGTTATTGTTTTTTAAACCCATTGATAAGTTTATCTCGATGACCATTTTATTTCCTTTGATGATTTACAATTTAATGCTGTGAGTCCCTGTGTGATTAGTAATTTGCTATACTGCATGATGGACATACCAATTCATGTGCTAGTGAAAGGAAGCCTCCAGGATGTTTTGTCCCTTAAATTCAACATAGGGCAACTACAGAGAATTTAATGCACAGAGAAAGTTTCTTTTTGTGCTCAGAAATCATTAGAGAGCAGCTGTAGTTTGTAAAAGCAAGATTGCATTTCTGGACCTATTCTGCTCAGCACTTGGTTTACTGTACCCTTATTATAAACATCTTACAATTTTTATATGAATTCCAAATGAGAATTTGCCATGTATAAAGAGAAAAATCAACAGCCCACAGCTGTCTTGCTCCAGCTCAGCCAACGATTTTCATTGCTTGTTAATCAAACTTACTGTCAAGCTTTGGTTAAGAACCAGTAATTGTTCAGTACAACTGTTGTTTGCTTGGACATGCTTAAGTTTGCAGTATGATTTCCCTGTTGCAGCTGGTGAAGTAAATGAGAAGTTGAAAAATCATTAAAGTGAATCACAGCCTATCCTCATTTTTCATTTTCTGCTTCAGGATTGAAGAGACATGGAGACTGTGGCAAAAGTTCCTGGATGATTATTCTCGCTTTGAAGATTGGCTAAAAATTTCTGAAAGAACAGCTGCTTTCCCTAGTTCTTCTGGCGTACTGTACACGGTTGCTAAGGAAGAACTAAAGAAATTTGAGGTGACTTGTTACATTTGAAATATATTACCTTTTGATCCTATTACAGCAGTGAGCGTATTCTTGCCCTGTCAGAGAGCATGTTACTTTATAGGGAAGTTCTTTATTAATATAGAATGATTAATACTTTTGCAGCCATCTCATGAGAAATAATTGGCTAGAGACAAAGAAAGCTCACTCTTTCCATAATGCTATAGGCCTCAGTTTCTTCTGCCCACCCACCCCTTCTCCTTTAGCACGGCTACAAGGCAATAGGATGTTTTTTAACTCACTGTAGTTAATTCTTAAGTCCTAAACCAGACAAACTAGTTAGTGTTAACTCTGGGTTAAGTAAACAAGCTAGCTTCAAATCTGGTTGATACTGGCTTGTTTTCCTAAACTGTATTTCAACATCAACCACAGTCGATGGTTCCAGCCTAACAAGTATCCATGGTCAGTTGAAAATTGGAAGCAAAACCTTCTAGTCTCATCCTTGAGAAAAGTGGCAAGAGGAGTGGGCACAAGGCTCATGCATGAATGATAAATAGTGAGTTAGCAATATGTGTGAATGCAGCCATTGTTTCCAAATCTCCAAATCATCCTTTGAAGGAATGGGAATTCGTCTTTACTTCAGGCCCTCAAGAGTCTTTAGTTACTGCTTAATTCAGGCAAACCATAGGTAATCTTTAACCTTCATACCAGTATTGGAAAACAGCTTCAAAATATAGGTTCTAATTCTGGTTTGGCGAGCATATGCAAATCATAGTTTGCCAATTTCAATGCAAGCAAGCTTTGCCTGAACCAGGAAGCAGCTAACTGGCTCTAATTGGCTAATTGGCATGATTTAGGGGACTGAAAATATTTGATGTGAACACTATGAGTTTTCTGATTGTGCAATGTAGAGACCTGTTCAAAACATTCCTTACCATCCAATTTTACGCAAGTTTTTAATATTTAAAAACTTGGTAATTTCCCACCATCCTTCCTTTTCTCTTTAATTTCATTTGCAAACTATTGCCATGCTCTTCCAAGTAGGACTTCATCATGCAAACACTTGTATGCATTATTAGGTTTGCAGGATGAGTAATCAATTTCTCTGAAGAAAAACGTTCTTCAAACTTTTCTTCTTACTCATTTCCTCTGCCCCTAACTCACTGAAGAGTCATATATTTAATGATTTCCACTGAAACTCAACCAAGTATATTTTATTAGCCTTTCTTATTAAAACTGGCTTGATTTCGTCTTGAAGCTAGTGTCCTGTAATTTTTGTCTCATCTCCTTTTATTCCGACTGTTTCAAATCACTTTCCCCTTCCTACATGCTGAATTGTATAATTACTGTAGAAAAAAAATCAACTGTTCACTGAAAAGCTCCAAAAATAATTTTAGCTGGCTTTGGAAGTTTTCTTTCATCCACTATTTCTATATTCTGTCACAGAATAAGGATTTAAAGCAAAAGAGGGTGAGATTCCTGTAACAATTGTGTAGAAGAGGAACAGCATCACTTTCTGAAATGCCACCTTCTATATACAGTTTCTTAAAGGCACAGGAGCCTCTCCTTGTTTGTGAATCGTCACACCACAAGGTTTTTAAAAACCATACATTGGTCTTTTCTGTAGAGTTTGTATGTACCAAGAACCTAAATGGTTATCAGGATTGGTCTTGAGTTTCTCTGATTATGTCCTTAATGGTGATTTTGGTTGATTATCAGGATGAGGATTCTAAAATTCTAGCTTAGCTGATGTGATGGTTCTCACTCATGCAATTGCCATTAATCAGTGACTGGGGCTTCAGGCTTAAACACACTCACCTAGGAACAAGTCTAAATGACTTAATTCATTTGTGTGACTGTGTGACTTAATTCTGAGAAGATATTTTTTGAACTTCACTGTAAATGATGTTGCTAAAGTCAGTTTAGAAACATGTTCTTGTTCATACAGCACTGAGAGCTTGAAAGCATGTGCAGCTGTCCATTCTTTGAACAAAAGTTACTAACAGATTACATGGCAACTGTGATTCACTAGACATAAGGGCTGCCTGTTATAAAATGTATTTGTGATACATTTAGAGACAGGTGCATTTTGTTTCTGTAAGAGAGATACTTTGCTGATCTTAACACATGTTTTGTTCCTCTGATTACCATTTCCATTGCATTTGAAAACTCTCTTCTCTTCTTTTCTCTTCGTTCTTTCTTACCTATCCACGTTTTTACATTCCACGTATTGACATTTAACCTGAGTTGTTAATTAATGGGAAGAATCATGTGGGGATTTTTGCTGCTTCAAAACTTTTAATAACTCAAGGAAAAACACCAAGCTACAGGACAACGGAAAAATTATGACTGGGATCTTTAGCCAGTTTGTTGTAATGGAAAATTCATTCCCACTCCCAATGTTGATTTAGCACACCCAAACACGCACACACACACACACGCACACACACACACACACACACACACACCATCTACTTAGTTTTCCAAGAGGATATTTTGTAGAATCACAAATGATTACTGCCCAACATCCTATCTCAGTCCTTGAATTCCCATAACAAAAAAGGTTTTGACCATATGAGACTCACAAATGGAGAGACTGATGTTGTACTTAGGTCCTACTTGCAGGCTTCCCATAGGCATCTTATTGGCCATTTTGAAAACAGGATGCAGCACTAGATGTGCTTTTGGTCTCACCCAGTGACATCCCAGTATCACATGTGTTGTGTAGCTCTGGATTCACTTAAGGGAAAACTGAATTGATTTATTCTTAGTAGAATATTGTAGCACCAATCAAAAGTCACTTCTTAAATTACCCCTTCATACATGCATGTAATATCCTTGATAGTAATTTCCATCTACAAAGATCTCTTCTCTTCTGTGGTCCTGTTGCCAAGGTCAAGGACAAGGAAAATACAAACCATGATTTACAGAGGCCAGTGCTCTAATAGGCTCTTTTGTTGCTGCTATTCTTGTAGGCTTTTCAGCGACAAGTTCATGAAAGCCTGACTCAGCTGGAACTGATTAACAAGCAGTACCGCCGCTTGGCCCGAGAGAACCGCACTGACTCTGCTTGCAGCCTCAAGCAGATGGTCCATGAAGGAAACCAGAGATGGGACAATTTACAAAAGCGAGTGACCTCCATCCTCCGCAGACTTAAAGTATTTCTCCATTCGTAGCTCATTCCTTATGGTGGTATATTTTTGGATCAGGGGAAGGGGGAAGTTGCTGTTGAGAACATTGCAGTTTTATTAATTGATGTGGTAGTTGTGGTGGTTCTGTTTAAGTTATGTTTGATAAAGTTGAAGGCTATAAGCATTTAAATTAGGTTTATTTCCTTTTTTAGCATTTCATTGGTCAGCGTGAGGAGTTTGAGACGGCACGCGACAGCATTCTAGTATGGCTTACAGAGATGGATCTACAGTTAACCAACATTGAACATTTCTCAGAGTGTGATGTTCAGGCCAAGATAAAGCAGCTCAAGGTATAGAAATGCAACCTATAGGGACACAGTAACAAAACAAAACAAAAAACCCCAATAAGCACTTTATACATTATTTAAAATGTTTATTTGGAGCAAGTTTCATAAACATGAAAATGGAAAGGAAAGCACTAAGTGGGATTCTCGGCCCACACCAAGTAAATCAGTTCTGGCAAGCGAAAGCAAACAGATGACATCTGAAAGTTTAATTGTTTGTTCACGAGTTGCTTTTCTTTACCCATATTTAGAGAAGAGATGGAGAAATGCCCAGCACAAGTCACTGGGTTGTATCTAAAGTAGCACCAAGTAAGCCTTCCATCAGTGCAAGGATTTCCACTTGCCCAAGAGCACTACTTCCCCAGCGTGCTCCCTAAATCTGTACTGGATTTACCCTCACCCCTCCACAGCAGATATGGGGAGGGGACAAGGTGCACACAAGGGAATAGAGAGGAGAAGGGCCCTTTGCACAAATGAACATTTTTGAGCTGATGGGACATTTCGGTTGGATAGCACCCAAGCTTTGTCCCAACTAAAGATTCTCAGATGGAAGCTGCCTTATACTGAATCAGGCCATTGGTCCATCTAGTGCAGTATTACCCACACTGACTGGCAAGAGCTCTGAAGGCTTTCAGACAGTGAATATTTCCATCCCTACACAGAGATTCTGGGGATTGAACCTGGACCTTTTGTAAAGTATGTGTTCTGCCACTGAGCCACAGCCCTTCCCTTCCATGTCACAGTGGGAAACAGTAGATGGAGCAACGATTAAGGGTCCATCATCATTGCTTCTCTTGGTGGCAGTTGTGATTCCCCATACTCAGGAGTTCCTGGATTCAGGTCTTCTGCCAAATGTCTATGTTCCTATGATACTAGTGGCATGCTTTGTTTTGTTTTGAAGTCAAGTCGACTTATCACCTGTGTGCCTATTTTACATTCGCTCTGCAGTGTAAAACAACTAAGGATACTTTTGTTCCAGGAATCAGGTCTGTGTGGTGAATATAGAACTGAATATAGACTCCCGACAGTAGATAGGATCACATCAGTCTTCTGTCTCAACTAATTATATCATTGGGCTATTGCTGAAGGCACCATGACTGAACAACTGTGTTGTAGATGGTGCCTCAAAAAACACATATATTTTGTTTATACTGATAACTGTTTAAATATTTTAAAACCTTGGTATGCACCTGAGTCTGAAAGAACTTAAATAAGGTGAAATTGTCACCAACTAACATAACAGATTAGGAATGCAGGATCTTTATGTGTCATTTCCAGGTGGTGTATAATAACAATATAAAATAGAATACAATATACATTATCTTTGTTGATTGGCTTCTTAAGCGGTTTGACAATGCAAGAGCATGGCTTGAGAATCTTTGTGTTCTTCCTTTTGTTTACCTATGGGATAATCAACTGCCTGGTCATCTGTGTGCTTGTTGTATACCAGGCTTCAGCAACCTGGTGCTCCCCAGATGTTTGGAATTACCACTTCCATTATCCCTAGCCAGTGCTGGCGGGGACTGATGGGAGTTGAAGTCCCGAGAGATCTGGAGAGCACTAGGTTACAGAAGACTGATCTAGATACTCTCCATAATATAAATGTTTTATAGATTTTCAGTAAATGTACTAGTTTAATGGTTATCTGAACTGTCTTGAAATATCTGTATTTAAATAGCAGGTGGTATAATGATCATTTAATTAATATGTTTACTGGAAACATTTCACACACACCCCTTAAAATTTCATTATAACTATTATATGCAGGCCTTTCAGCAGGAGATATCATTGAACAACAACAAAATTGAACAGATCATTGCCCAGGGTGAGCAGCTGATAGAAAAAAGTGAGCCTCTGGATGCAGCTGTCATTGAAGAAGAGCTTGATGAGCTTCGGCGATACTGCCAGGAGGTCTTTGGCCGAGTTGAACGGTATCATAAAAAACTAATCCGCCTCCCGGTAAGTTTTTTTTTTCACCATAAGCAATTGTTGAAAGCCTTACAGAGGTAGGACATTCAGTGTGGTAAATTTAAAGCTTTGTGAATGCATAAGCATGAAATTTGCAAGATCAGAGCTACACAATCCATAATGGACTGCACAGTGGATCCCACTGGACCATTATTTTGTTTCTTTGCAGAAAGGTACACTTCTAAATCTAGAGAGGCATCATTATTCATTTAAGTTTCCAGGCTGAAAATGCAAAAGAGAAGTATCTGGAAATCAGACTGCTGTTTTCAGAAGATGAAAGAAAAGGACCTAGTACTGGTCCAAATGCATGACTATTTTGGCTCATTTCTGAGATACTGCAGTAAATTTCCTGACTGGAAGGAGATGTTATCTAACAGACAATTACCTGATAGGCAGCCATAGAGATGAGCACTAAACATACAAGACATGCTTATTTTTAGCTTTTTTTATTAGTGTTATATGGGAGTTTTAAAACAACAACACACCCATAAAACCAGAAAAGAAAGAAGCATAATGAGAATGTTGTGAGTTTGAATGTTACACAATGACACTTTTATCTTATTGACCTAGCTAGAGTTAGCACTGATCCATTGAGAAGACTATTAATTGACTCTTTAATGTTTCCTTCTAGCTCACAGATGATGAGCATGACCTCTCTGATCGCGAAGTGGATCTGGATGAATCGGGAGATCTTTCTGACATACATTGGCATGACAAATCTGCAGACAGTGTCCTCTCCCCACACCCTTCCTCCAACCTCTCACTGTCTCTTCCCCAGCCTCTCCGAAGTGAAAGGTCAGGACGTGACACTCCTGCTAGTGTAGATTCCATCCCCTTGGAATGGGATCATGACTATGACCTGAGCCGGGACCTGGAGACGGCCGTTTCAAGAGCGCTGCATTCTGAAGAAGTGGAGGGGCAAGAAGACAAAGAGTTTTATCTCAGAGGAGCAGCAAGCCTAGCAGGTATAATCACTCACCCATCTCTAATCCCTTCATACAGCTCTGCAGGGACATTTCTAAGTCAGCTGACCTTTATTGGCCTAGTTCTTGGCGTAAAGTTGCCGGTTACATGAACAGCTCTGACATATGGTTGCTTTTTAGGAAATTTTCATAGACTGTCAGAGAAGGAACTGGAAGAGATTTTTTCAAACAGAATAGATTAGCTGGCGCTACCCTATTAGTCATAGCAGTCACAGAAGGCAAATTTTCTTGGAAAACTTTGAGTTTAGTTAATAGCTGGGCTTGAAGTCATTGTGGTTCAGGGCCTAGTCTCGTGAACTTTGATGAATTTTGTTTTTAATTAGCCCCCATGTGTTGAACTAATAAAGGGAATGCTTCTGCAATGCCAGCTGCTGTATTCCAAGCCACCACAATGATGTGTGAAAAACCACCTCACATTGCCTTGCCTAGCACACAGCTAAAAGTCTGTGGTGTCAAATTCATGGGTGCCATGTTCAAAAAGGATCAGGCACACCCCTTGTTTAGGTAAGACAGGAGTTGACATCAGTGGCAATTTAGCAGTGCCGTTTTGACTCTTTAAGACTCATGGGTTAAGCATGCTTAGCTGTGTGACCATGCTGGTCCTAGAAAATAATAATCGGCAGAATATTTTAATACGACAGTTTCTGTGGGACAGTGCAGCAGAGGTAAAAGGATGGCGTCAACTTGATCCTGTGAGTGTTTCCATAGAACTATGGAATTTAATGAGACTCCCAAAAGTGAGCATAACATGCACATCTGCCACAAACCTAAGCCTGATTTATATTTTTGTGTCCTGGTCCAATACATAGTTACAAAACACTGGTTTCCATGTCAAACAGGAAGCATGTGTATTCAGTTATGCTTGTTTCTTTGAAATATATACGCCTAACAATACAAAAACTAAGATTTAGCTGGGAATTACAAGAACATCCCTGCAAGGACAGACTAAAAGCCTAGCTTACGCAGCAAACACACTGTTCCCAGATGCTGTTCACCAGTAGGTCCCAGGGTTAAAATAAATAAATAAAAACAGATTAAAGTCACAGAATAGGCTTCTGTTCATGAGGCTTCATTATCAGAAGCACAACAAGATGGGGGTTGCATGTTTGGTCCTACTGAAGTACACAGTTCTGGTCTCTCATCATGTAATTGCACATTAGGGTTTCTCCTTGTTGCCTGTTTCACTTGGATCCTTGAACCATTTTTGGAGAATACACAAAGATTAATTTCACTTCATGTCTCAAAAGCAGTAGAGAACTGGTGGTTTTCTCTCCTTTTGGGAGATTCAGTGCCTGACGCAAAGGAGACTGAAATAATTGTTGATAAGCAGTCATTTTGGGTTGTGTTTTATTTTTCCAGATATAGTGATCCCTGGGAGCCCTGAGGCCTATATAAAACTTACTGAAAATGCTCTTAGAAATGTCTATGGTAGGCAACAGAAATCATAAAGATTGCCAGACCTAAACCACCAATAACACTGCCTTCTTTCTTGGCATATCTGCTTTCTTAGTCACTACTTATCCCAGCCACTCTTCTTCACACATCAGTGCTAGCATGTTGATAGAAAATAAGGATATTTGCTTATATATTTAGTATTCTGCTTAAAATAATGGTATTAATATTCCTGTTGCATAGCCTATGAATTGAGGGGAAATAGGTCATCTATGTAACTTTGTGCTTCCTGGGGAGAGGTGGGAGATAGAAATCATAGAATCACAGTGTTTTAAGAGAGTAAAAGGATATTTAGGATAACACAGCACTCAAAAGCCAGAGCCTCTGTCTTACATCTTCCTTAAACAAATCTGAAGTAATAATATATCACTAACATTCCACACACACACCCCAGAATGAATCAGCTTGGGAGGGTTGGGAGAAGAGGATGTGAAAATAGGATAACATCTCCCTTTCTGATTCTATATTTTCTAACCGTCTTGCACAGTTTGAAATATCACAATATTAGTAAGATACAGGCTGTTGCCCAATATTTCTGAAGAAGAAATAAGGCACCCTGAAATGGCTTTAATGGAAGGGTCTTTAAGTCATTTTCCGTAGCAAAAGATTTGTCCTATGGTCACTTCACTGCTTTACGGTTTAATTTATTGTTCAAGGCCATGTGCTTACAGATTTCCATGAGTTTTAGCATAATGCCTTCTTGCCATACCAGAAAATTAGCAGTAATGCTCAGAGCATTACAAATATTTTCAAGTTTTCAGGAAAATCTAGGAAAACTATATTTATTTGTACAACGCTATACACATCTCCTCAAAGGTTAGCCTTTTTGAATTCAGAGGGACTTAGGTAAAGGGACCCCTGACCGTTAGGTCCAGTCGCGGACGACTCTGGGGTTGCGACGCTCATCTCGCTTTATTGGCCAAGGGAGCCGGTGTACAGCTTCCGGGTCATGTGGCCAGCATGACTAAGCCGCTTCTGGCAAAACCAGAGCAGCGCACGGAAACGTGATACCTATTTATCTACTTGCACTTTGATGTGCTTTCGAACTGCTAGTTTGGCAGGAGCAGGGACTGAGCAATGGGAGCTCACCCCGTCGCAGGGAATCCAAACCACCGACCTTCCGATCGGCAAGCCCTAGGCTCTGTGGTTTAACCCACAGCGCCACCCGCATCAGAGGGACATACTTTCAAGTAAATGTGTATGTGCATGCTGAGACTATAAAATTCCCCAGCATTTATACGGGGTGTGTGGGGAGTGCATCAGTTTCTAGGCTCTTACCAGTTGCCTGCTTAGCATAAATACAGTGGTACCTCTGGTTACGGATTTAATTCGTTTCGGGGTGCCATGCGCACCCCAAAAAATCCACGCGGCATGATAGAGCGCTTCTGCGCACACATGCGGTTCGCAGAGTGCTTCTGCGCATACACGAGCGGTGCGGCCATAACCCGAAGATTACTGTACAGTACTGCAAAATGCCTGAAGCTACAATGAAACAAGTGCAGAGTGCTTAGTTTTCTAGAATTGTTTTGGGGAATTGAATTTTCCTGATATGTCCTGCTTAAAAATTATTCATTTCTCAGTACACACACTAACCAACATAGTTGCAGATATGTTTGTATAATAGTTACAAATCTATTTGTCACCTGCATGCTATTGTAATTAACTCTTTGTCATGCTTTCAAAGCTAGCAGCACCACCTTCAGTATTTTCTTCTACTCACTGAGACATTTCAGTTTGGTAACATCTATCTGTCTATATTTTCTACAGGAGAACCATGTTCCTTAGAAACACACATCAGACAGCTTGACAAGGCCTTAGACACCAGCCGTTTCCAAATACAGCAAACGGAGAACATAATCCGCAGTAAAACACCAACAGGGCCGGAACTAGATTCTAGCTACAAAGGCTATGTAAGTACTGTGAGCCTAGCCCCCCTCGTGGCTGGACATAAAATTGCTATTCGTTGCTATTTGTATTGTTGCTATTCGCAGTGTGTGTGTCTTACCTGAGCCAGTTGCTGAGAGGGTTTGGGGGGGGGTAAATTAGCATCAGGTATAGAGTTCCTTCCATCAAATGCAAAATTTATTATTCCTTTTAGTTGTTGCACATTAGAGAGAGTTTGGATTTGATATCCCGCTTTATCACTACCCGAAGGAGTCTCAAAGCGGCTAACATTCTCCTTTCCCTTCCTCCCCCACAACAAACACTCTGTGAGGTGAGTGGGGCAAAGAGACTTCAGAGAAGTGTGACTAGCCCAAGGTCACCCAGCAGCTGCATGTGGAGGAGCAGAGACATGAACCCAGTTCACCAGATTACGAGTCTACCGCTCTTAACCAGTACACCACACACTACACTACACTACACTACACTACACTACACTACACTACACTACACTACACTACACTACTCTTAACAGCAGCCACTGTGCATGCAAGTCAATGGAGCATGAGGTTTTACCCAGCAATTAAGTGGTTGATTTGGACTGAGTAAATTTAAGTAATCCCACCTCTGGATTGCAATATTAGCAATGTGCTACACCACAGGAAAACCACTCTGCCAGCCTATCACTTCTACTTGTAATAGATATAAAAATGAATTGTACTGTGGGATTTTTGTCAGCCCAATCTGAATTTTTTTTGGGGGGGGGCAGAGAAAGCAATAGAAAACACTGCAGAATTGTTGTAAGATACTCTCAGCTTCAGCCCAGCTTGCAATATGGATCTAATACCTCTGGACAACACAGTAAATCACCTAGAGTCTGGCTCACAGCGTGAGAGATACACTTCTGGGCTGTTATACGTCACTCTTTTCTCTTTTCCAGGAATAGCTACTTTAAGCTAACAATTTAGGGACAGTGAACTGCTTTGTTTTGGAATTTTCCTTACCGGGCTTGTTTCTTAAATGTCTCACACTGAATAAAAACTGAGAACTGGCAGGAGTTCTTTCCTGCCTTTAGAGTTTGAACTCACTCGCACCTGGTTTAGGTGCATTAAATGTTTTCGGTTCTACACTGATATCATTGGGCAATTTTTTCTTCCCTCCCTAGAGACACTGAAAAATAACTTCTTAGTGTAAACCAGGAAGTGATCTACCCAGACAATGATGGTGTTGTTTTTTCCATATACATTTCCTCTTTCCTCCTGTTCAACCACTCTGTTCTATTTATCCATCTCAGGATTTCCCCTCACACCCTCTCAGTCTCTCAGCATTCTGTGCTATGATGGGGCTGTTTGTGGAGTTCTCCTTCTGAAGCTTTTTTCCTTCTGGTTGTTTTTTTTTGGGGGGGGGTGTACATGTGTGCCACACATTTTAAGTGTTTTCTAAATTTATTATTATTCATACAGCACCTAAAGCTAAATCCATACAAAGACAAGAAAGGCTTGAAAAATAATTAAAAACAGGACAATACTAGGGGGGGCGGGGAGGAAGGGAAAGGAGCTGGGAGTGAAGAGATTCATCCTCAGATTTCTTGAACGCCAAAATGACAGGAGGAAGAGCATTCCAGCGGTCAAGAGCTGCAATGGAAAGCAGACACAGGCAGGGAATAATAGAACTGGTAACTTATGAAAAAAGCAACAACCTAATAAATCACACCCACCATCATTTTGAAGATTTGTGTGACATGGTGAACTGTGATCTGGACAGGTGGGCAAGGATACAGTGAGCCATGCAACTAGTTCTGCTTGTGCTGGGGACTCTTGGACAGCTGCCGCCACCACCACCACGTCACAACAGAAAACCTGTTTTGAAACTGATCTCTCAAAAGCAGTTTGTGATGCATAGAATCCTAGAATTGTGGTGTTGGAAGAGACCATGAGAGCCATCTAGTCCAACCCTTTGCAATGCTGTTAAGTGGAAAAACTTTTTTTAAAAATTGCACTGGATGTACATCTTAAGTGGGGTTTTGTCCAAGGGTTTTTAGATCCCAATCTGGTGAATTACTATAGATTTAGTGCTTGCCCAGCAACAACTCACATCTCACTAAAGAAAACATTAACAGTGATTCCTAAAGTGCCTGTTAAAAGCAAACTGTGATCTCAGTTTTAGCTTTATACTCTGCACTAGTTTCTTAGTTAAATATCTGAAATTTCAGCAATAGCAAAAACATTTCTGTTAACACATAATCTCTCTCTTTCTTGTGTTTAATTGCCATTAAAAACAAGGGGATAGCCATACAAAGTTTTCAAACCATTAAGACAGTGGAGTTCTATCTATCACATCATGGAATGACTTGTATTAAGAACTAGGATGCAAATTGTTTTGTAGTTAGAATCTTAAGATGTAATCCTATGTATACTTACCTGACTGTAAGCCCCATTGAACTCAATGGGACTTACTTCCTAGGATTTTGCTCTTAGTTCTGTTGTTTCTCCAGCATGGTCATGAATAATGAGAAGTGGTTTCTCTCTTTTTCAAACAGATGAAGCTTCTGGGCGAATGCAGTGGGAGCATAGATTCAGTAAGAAGACTTGAGCACAAACTGAAAGAGGAAGAGGAAAAGCTGTCTGGATTTATTAACCTGAACAGCACGGAGACACAAACAGCCGGTAAGTAATATTCAGAACTGAACTTGCAATGTGAGGAAAACAAGTGATAATGACATGCAGCATTGAACCATGGAAGCACATCATACTGCTTGCACATCTGGGTGACAGCTTTTTTTTATTCTTTACAATCTGATTTTGGAGCAGCACTGAGACTGCAGTGGCAGCTTTGTTTAATGGTCTTTACCAAGAGATTAGCAGGGGATTGCACAACCTTTTGGAATCTTTTGTTCACTGTTTGATCATGGAACACACATTATCATTGGTACATCAGGATGACAACAGTTTTCTGGGGCTCTTATCCAATTCTAAGTCCATTCTTGAGAGAGTATTTATGGAAGTTGGCTTAAGTTGTTCCACTCATTCTGAGCGAGAGAGATTCAGGAGGCTGATGCGAATAATTTCCTAATGATTTTATTTTAAGACTTGTATCAGGGTGACACACTATTTTAAATTTAATGAATTGTATGAAATGACTTTATGGGTCTTTATAAGAATTTGGAAGTGCTTGAGTTTTCTTAGCTCTAGTTTTAATCAAGTATTTTCCTTGAAGCTCTTAGGATAGACTCTTCTATGCACACTTAGCTAGGGAGTAAGTCCCACTGAGGTCAGTGAGGCTTTCTGTGAGTAACGTACATGAGCTTGCACTGCTGTTTTTCCTGTATGGCACCTAGTTAATATATGTTCCCAACAAATGTTAAATGTTGTTATAGATTATTATTTTTTAATAGTATATCTCAGAATCTTGGTGCTGCTTCCGTCTTGGCTTATGTTGAGGCAGTGGATGGAAGTGAGCTAACTGAATTTGTGAACAAACTGGAATACAGTAAGCCTGCAACTTACACACATTTTACTTGTGCACCTTCAGCTTCATGTGCATGGCAAAAACAAACAAACAAACAAACAAACAAACAAACAAGTAATGGGCAGAAAGGAGGCAGGGTTCTGAGGACAATGACTTTGGCAATCCCACCAGCCATTCAACTCCAATGGGTTTTGAATCCCAGTGCTTTTCTTCTAAAAAAATAGGTCCTGCTACTCAGCACGAAGTTATTACAGTAAATGCCTTTCTTCTAGAAGAAAAGATACTGTGTGCCCTTGAGTACCGCCAGAGAAAAAAAGCACTGGTTTTCACTATACATGATTTTCACTTTAGGCATGAATATAACCCCCAAATAAGTTGCAGGCTTACTGTAATGCTTATTGGGGATGTGGTTTTTAGGTTATGGATCTTCATAACAGCAAAGCTCCATATTTAATACAAATTGACATAGACTGATCCAATATAAGGCTTGAAGTGCTACTGGAGGTCTAGGTGTAAGTAGCAGTCACCAAGATGAGAGGAAGGCTGTATCCATTTCTGTCACAGCAATCATGCAATTAAAAATGAGCATGCATCTCAAACTGAAATTAGAAATGGGTTTTTGTTTTTGTTTTAAGATTTTGCCTTGGAATCTGGAACTTTATGTAATGATGGAGCCAGGGGAGTGAGTGTCACAGTTAATTGATTCTGGTGGGAAATTCTCAGACTGATTTGCTTGTGTGAAGCTTCGTTATAGCCCTTAATGAAAACAGCATAGTATTCATCCCTTTCATTAGCTAATTTAGCATGTCATGATAATGATTAGTGCAGTTTTTGGATGCTGTGGTAAATTAATCAGCACAACTCCTTCTGTGAGAATTGTCTTGTTTGGGCTATTACTTTACCAATTATCAGAGTACAGAGTAAATACAGAATCTATATGTTTCCCAGCAAAATGTCCACTATAATGGGTGCAGTATGTATCAATGTGTGCCATATTTCTGAAGCAATTTCAGAGTGAGGGAAATGCTTCCTGCCATAGGTGCCAACTCACCGGGTGCCCGAGCACCCACAAAATTCCTCATGAAGGGGCCGGGCACTCACAAATAGCACTACATGTGACCCACGGCCCCAGGCACCTAGGGTTGTGGGGCCAAGCTGGCATTCCTGCTTCCTGCCCTCAGATTATTAAATATAGGGAGAAAATAAATAGCCATGAGGATTTCAAAACACACAGCAACTAAGTTAGGGCAAAGTTAGGCTTTCAAAAAACTTCTGCACCATCAGTACCCTGTCAGTGGTATCTGGTCCAGGCAGTCCCCAAGTTCAGTGCATTACTTTTCATTCTAAGACTGGATGGCAGGCATTCACTTATAAGAGTGTCCTCAGGTGTTACTATTGGCATGGAACCTAAGGGTTCCTGGTCAGCCCAGAATTTAACTTGCCTTTGTCTGCACAGCTTCACCCTAGATTCTGTTTCTTGATCATGCTAACGTGTGATGGAATATTGGGGGGGGGGGTCAGGAAGGAAGTTGCTCTTACAGAGAGATCTTTTTCCCTTTAGGTGTGATTGATCGGTGGGAGTTAATCCAGGCCCAGGCCTTAAGTAAAGAACTGAGGATGAAACAGAATCTTCAGCAATGGCAGCAATTTAGTTCTGACCTAAACAGCATCTGGGTTTGGCTTGGAGAAACTGAAGAAGAGTTGGAACAACTGTGTTGCCTTGATCTCAGCACGGATATACAAACCATTGAGCTACGGATTAAAAAACTGAAAGTAGGTTCTAATTCCTGGTCTTCTTTTCTGTTGATTTTCTAATATGCTTTATTTTTGTGAGGTGCCATTTCAGCTCCTATTGAAAAAGCACTGCCAATTTCTGGACCCTGCATTTCTTCACATACTAAAGGACTGGAAATGAAAGACTATGATAGTCAATTTCATTGGAGTTTTCTTCTTCTTCTTCAAGTTACATAGTATGCCAGTGTTTATATTCATTTTTATTATTTATTCATTCCTTCTCTTCATATCCTACATCTTCCTCCAAAGACACTCACAGTGGCAGATGGTTAAGATGGTTGGCAGAAGATTTTGCTCTTAAGAGGCAAGCCAAGGGGAGGGCAACCACACATTCTTTACAAAGAGCACTATAATGTAGTGAAGGCATCAGGCTGCCAACTCAGATCAGCTAAATCTGTGGCATTTTGAGAGAACCAAGCAAAGAACTCTGCTTATTTACCAGTGCACAGTATGATCAACATCAGACTTCCTTTTGGTTAATATTCTTCTTTTCTTTTGGAATTTGTCCTATAGTCAGACAGGGACTAATGTCTACACTCTAGTCATTAATGGGTTTAACAGTGTATCTTGATGTGTGTGTGGGATACTTCATCTGGGTGGGCCCATAGCTGTTTCCAGAAGATCCAGAGGACAATTTCTTTACATGAATGTGGCATTAATATTTCCTTTGGGCCTGAATTAAAGCCTCATAAACTAAGGCTGCAGTACTTCAGCTAAACCAAACGATGACATCAATTCATTTGCTCTAGAGAAAGGTAATTCCCTCTTTGATGCGAAATTCAGAGGCTTGTTCTAAATTAGACTAGTCCAGGACACAGCCCACTATCTGTCTCAGCTTTTTGACATTGTGAGGTACAATATTCACGCTTTTTTTTTCTTTTTTGAAGTTTGTGTCTGTATGGGGCAGATTCAGCTAACAACTCACCCACAATGACGTCCACTACTACAGTTGGGCTTTCCCCCTTCTCAATCCCCACACCCCAAACTCGTTTGGGGAAATCAGGAGAGCCTCCAGAACAGTGTGGGGAGGGGAATCATTCCACATAGTAAACAGAAATGTTTATGCTGGTGGAACAATTGCCATAGCACAACATTGAATTCCTCCCAAAGTATTTAAATACTTGCTTCCAGATGACATGCTTATTGAGTATTGATCCTAATTTGTTTAAGGGAAAGCTAGATGATGTCTATTTAATGAGCATTCATCCTCACTTGTTTGATGAGAGACTTGATGACATTGCATCAAAACTACTACTATCCCACACTTTCCAGTGCAATTTCCATTCACTTCCCTCAAAAAGTCATTTTTTGGGGGAAGCAGATTTCCTGCACAAGACCTCTGAATCCACTATAATTTTGAGATCTGGATTTGACAGTGTGTAATTGAATCCCCCACACTCCAAAAATAGCAACAGTCTGAAAGTAGGTTATGTGTACAGTCTGGAGTATGAAAAAAGAGCCAGCTCCTGTGGTTCCAACCCCCATCAAATTCAACCATGCCATAAGGCTTTATGTCTTTAAATATTTTATTAGTTTGTTCTGAATTCTACTGCAAACATAAAACCGGAGACCTTTATAAAAATGGGTTCTTACTAGTCAGAAGCCAGACGTATCACTTAAAAATAAAGACACAGTAACTGTCTTTTAAGTTATGAAACTTTAAGAGAGATAGTGGAACTTGTTTCTTCTTGAATTCTTGAGCATGTTTCCTGTAAAAAAGCTTACTCCCGTCTCTCTTCATTCCCCAAGGAGCTACAGAAGGCCGTTGATAACCGCAAAGCCATCATTTTGTCCATCAACCTTTGCAGCTCAGAATTCATGCAGTCTGACAGTGAGGAAAACAAGAAACTGCAGGAACGGTTGTCTCAGATGAACATGCGCTGGGATCATGTCTGTAGTATGCTAGAAGAATGGCGCTGTTCACTGCAGAACGCTCTAATGCAATGTCAGGTCTGTTCTGGTCTATGCAAAATCATTCCCCTTCGACTCTTGGATTAGATGTTGCACCAATTACATTCATTTTCTTAAATGAGTTACTTTAATGTGTGCACACCATCATATCCTGTCTTGAATATATCACAGAGACATTTTAGACAAGAGCATAAAAAGCAAGTATTTTTGAAGCCCAGAAGCCTAATTATTAAAAGATTTTGGTGCATTAGGTAAAATCTGTTGCACATTTCCTAAATTGCTTCCTGAAAACTGCCTTGCACATTTCCTATATTGATGTTTTTGGCATATTGTTAAGGTGACAGGCCTTATACCATATGTAGGATTTTGTTCCTGTGAAAAGTGATTCAAACATGGATGTAATATTAGTAGCTACTTCCTGTTTGGCTTATTAAATACTCAAGGCCATCAAGGCCTTGTTACACAGAACAGCATTAGATATGTTTCATACTGCACTTAACATGTTGTTCATACATAATTTTCGCCAATCCAAATGTGGTTTGGAAGATCAAGCTGTGCAGAATTGCTTGGTTTCCCTCTCATATGCCTGCTTAATACAATGCTCTCTCGTTTGTTGTGACTACTGAACCAGAGCAATCACTCCAAAGCAGAACTGCAAACTGGTTCAATTCAAGTTTACAGGGATCACTCAAACCAGTTTGCCAGTTCTGACATCACAAAAAATTGTGAATTGACAAACCTAGAGGTGTTCTGTTAAGTCAAGTGGGGCCAGAGAGCGGGGAGAAGGATGTATGCTCACAACTCATTTTTGGGAGGATCAGATACTGTAAAATTTGAATGCATCTTTGGAGTTCTGGGCAACACAAAAAAACACATTTGGCATTAAACTTCCATCTATCACTTCTAGGATTTCCATGAGATGAGCCACGGTTTGTTGCTGTGGCTGGAGAACATTGACAGGAGGAAAAATGAGATTGTCCCTATCAATCCAAATCTGGATTCAGACACTCTGCAGGATCATCACAGGCTACTAATGGTACAGTACCTTTCTCTAAAGGAACAATAATTCAGAGATTAAAAAAGAACATAGAAACTCATATCTGAAACACATATTGTGATCCTTTGGTGCCAATCGAGAATGCATATTCCTGGTATTGACTACCAGGAATGCTAAGATCTTCTTGATTTGGTATAGAAAGCCATCAATCTGTTTTTAAAACATTTTCTTTGCAGTGGGAACCCTGAAATAATGACATATTTATAGCAAATGCAGAACTTACAAAATAGTGTGCAGTTCAGACATGCTTTTAGAATAAAATGCCAATCATTAATCCTCTCTTTTGAATTTGGATATCTCTTTTTTATTTGCAACAGCAAGTGTATGGTAGTTTAGCTTTATTGGTCCCTGTTCCTGAGTTTTAAGATCAGAAAAAATACTTGAATTACATTTTGACTCATTCAAAGCAACAAAATGCATCTGATTTCCTCCCTTCCTGACAGCAAATAAGGCGCGAACTGCTAGAATCTCAGCTGAAGGTGGCATCTCTTCAAGACATGTCCTGCCAACTGCTAGTCAATGCTGAAGGCAAGGATTGTCTAGAAGCCAAAGAGAAGGTCCATGTGATTGGAAACAGACTCAAAATGCTCCTTAAAGAAGTTTCACATCACATTAAGGAGCTGGAGAAAATCCTAGATGTTTCAAGCAGTCAGCTGGTAAGTCATTCTGCCACGGCAAATCTACTAGTCATTGTGGCTGTTCACTGCTAGGTTGCTTCCAGACAGATGTTTATTGTGACATCATTCATGCAAGTTTTTTGCAGTGCACACATGGCATTGTTGGCATCAAAATGCTTAGATCACACACACACCCCTTTAATCTGAAGTTACTGTTTCTGGTGGGAATCCAGTTAGTTAAAAAGCAAAAGCAAAAACCTTGTTGCCAATGCAATATATTAGTGGTCCATCTGCAAATTACACCAGCCCTTTGTTTTTTGATAGGGGATAGAATGTATTTTCCATCTCAAATACGTATTCGTTAAAAGTATATTTTGCTGCTCTGCTACGATCCCTCCAAATCTGACAATCTTTTGCAAAATACTATATATTTTTAAAAAATATAGCCACAACACTTCCAGCCTGTAGCTGACAAATGAATAAAAACACTATACACCTGTCTCAGTACTGAAAGGGTGATTTGAATACTTTCCATTGCAAGTAGTCCCTCTGTTATTCCCCGTTACTAATAAAATATACCACAGTGTACAAATAATACGATGAGTTTTCAGTCTGTCTAGTGTATATCTCTGTGTAGGGGAAAAAAATCTGCAATTCAAGTGGGAATTTTTATTGTGTACAGTCCTGACACACACCACCTATTCCTTAAAAAAAAAACCACCACACACATTAAAGAGCAACTGTTTTCTCAGGCTTGACTTGGCCAGAAATAACAGTTCTATGCCCAAGGCAAGGTAGAATGCTTGTATGCTTGTCTTCACAAACTGTGTTGCATAACCTGTAGCAACTTCGTTTCAAATTGCGAGCAGTTGGTCTGCATTTTTTGTCCTTTTTTGTGAACCAAGTTTATATATAGTGTTTTCTCCCTTCTAATCTCCACTGATTCTGAACCTTAGGATCTGTCCTCCTGGTCATCCGCTGATGAGCTGGACACTTCAGGATCCCTCAGTCCAGTATCGGGAAGGAGTACTCCAAGCAGACAGAGAACGGTAATGTCCCACCAGATACCTTCTGCTAGCTCTTGGGTAGAAGCTCCAGGTAGCTGTAGCCAGGTGACAGGTCCACACCACCTTCCTCCTCCTCATAGGCAAGAAAAAGGCACCAACCCAGAAGAGCTCTCCCTCCAACAAAACACTGCCTCCCTTTGCTGCATCTCCTTCCCTGCATGAAATCAGGATTATAAAATGCTATATATAGTAAAACCAGGACTCAAAGTGTGGTAGGTGCCTCACAACATGTTAGTCAATCAATCAAATATTTTTATTGTATATAGTCAAAGGCATTTACAATGGACAACAGAGAATAAAAGGAAACTTTCATCTAAAATTATACACGTAACCTGTAGTAGTTTACAACATAAAAAGAAATTTACAACATTAAGACTTAAGATTGGAGTACATTCACATAGCTAGAACAAAGCTTCTTGGCTGCCAGCGCAAATTTGGCTACCTGGTGTGTAATATATAAATGTTTATCTGCTAGGAGTTCAACTGTCACTTCCTGTGTGGATCAACCTGGAAGCCAATTAAGAATTGGCAATATAAATTTTCCCCTGGGTGTTGTATACAGGGGTCAAGTCAGCAGGTAGTGTGTGATGTCCTCTACCTGATTGCATCCATGTATACATTTGCAATCCGTATGGGAAATTCCCCAGTACAGTGGTACCTCCAGTTCTGAACGGGATCTGTTCCAGAGGCCTGGCCGTATCCCGAAAACTCCATAACCGGAGGACTGCTTCTGCGCGCACACACGCCGCCGCAGAGTGCTTCTGTGCATGTGCGAGCAGCAAGCCCACTTAGGGGTTTGCCGCAGCCGTAACCGAAAGATTCCATAACCTGAAGGTTACGCAACATGAGGTATGACTGTATTTCCCCTCTAAAAATGCTGAGGGCATCTGTTGAAATTTTAGTTCTACAAAGGCCCTGCGTAGTTGTGGCAAGGTCAGAGTCTCAAGGTAATGGGGCCTTGAGTGATTTGCCTTAATTTGGGGGGTACTAGGTAGAGTAGCGAGCTGCAATGGTGGATGCTTTGTCTTGGTTGGCATCCTGATCAAAAATCCCATTTCTAAGGTCACCCGATGAATACTGTAACATTGTAGGACCACTTACAAAACACAACACAGGAGCTGCTAAGCTATCACTATTAGTGATAAGATAATATTGTAGCGAAGTCCCAGGGATTCAAGAAAACAATTTTATATTCATAAAATTCACCATACACATGTTCAGGGTGGAATTGCTCTTCTTGAGTGTGGAAAATGAGCAGCTTTGTCTTCCTTGTCCTTTGCAATGAAGGTCAAGGGGTGAGATCCATCATAGTTCAATTGATAATCAGCTCATGAACCAGGATTTCTCCTTGCTCTCTTCCTCCCTGAATCTCCCTGAAGACCCCCAAAATCTGCTCGAGTAAGAGGGTCAGGAACACTTTAGAGCAGATTTGGGGGGGAGCACACAGGGGGCTGGAGGAGAAGGTAGAAACCAGAATTTACATTGTGCAAGTGGATTTTATGCCAGTGGGCAGATACCATTGGGTGTCACCCAAAAGCCCGACCAAAATTATTCCAACTGTTGCTCTTTGTTTTGTGGTGGTGTTGGCAATGAAAACTTGTTTCTTCGGTATGCTGCTGATTTCTTAGCAAACAGAGAAAGCAAGTTGTTTTTTCCAATGCAACACACTCCCTGGCTTGCTGAAGGAGTAAAAGCAATACTATTCCAGGCATGCATATGCCAAAGTTTTGTGTGAATAATAATTTGTTTTCTTTTATTCCTGATACTACCCACCACACACGCCCTTCCACCTACTTGCATTTTCCTTTTGTGCCACTGGAATATAGTACAAAGACAGTCTGTGAGCCACATAATGTACTACTCTTCACTTTGAGTCCTGTAGGGAACTTGGTTTTCATTCTTTTTGTTCGTTTTAATTTAAGTATTATTCAGCTTTCCTTAGCTTTTAGAAAACTATCAATTTTCATTTGCTCTCTTATAAAAAAAATCTGAGTTCTGTCTTTATGAACCTTACGGCCTCTTAAAATTGATTTCAATACATTCACTAGTTTCGTTTAGATCCTAGTTTGAGAATGTAAAGGAATACTGGCTTTTCAAGGGGAAGATACACAAAAATCGTGGCAGTTTTGTTTCCTGGGTCATTACTTTCATTTTTATCTTTCAACATTTCTAAAATATAAGTTATATATATCATGGTTAGCTTATGGATATGAGTAGAAATAGCAGCTTATCGTAGCAAGTAGACATTCACTAAACAATGGTTAGAAATGCAACATGCACAATTTCAATGCCTTAAATCTGTATTTGTCACTTCAAACAGAGCACTGTTTGGTTGATTGACACACTTTTTTCTTTTTATCATCACCTTCTCTGGGGTACAGTATGATACAGATGGTTTCTCTAAGGTATATCTTGAAAATTAGCTTTAACGTTTTCAAATAGAAATGAAAATTTGAGATTTTTTTGTAAAAAATATATAATGTTCACCAAAACAAATTTGAACTAATATAATAGGGTTGGATCCAGAGCTGCATTCAGTGGAATTCCACTAGCACTGGAGGAAGTGGACGGTGCAGTGATTTTCTCCAGTTCTTCCTCCCTTCACAGTCTCCACTGTCCCCTGTAAAGTTGTCACAGAGAGCTGAGGTGCCTCCACTTCCATTTACACAAAGAATGACTCTAAAGATAACTGATGCAAAACAAGGAAACATTTTCTTAAAATAATAATTACTATTATTAAAAACAGAATATATTTTTGAAGCATCAGCAAACAAAAGTGTAACTTTTGAATAGATATGAATTAATACAGCAAATTGCTTGAGGCATTTAACCGTAAGTTTCTTTTTTTAACACACCGCACTTTCTTTGTATTGTTTTATTGACTACAGTGTCATTTTAAGTTCATGTTGTACGTTCAGTTTCATATTCAACTAGGAGCAGAAAAGAAAAGCCAGTTTCCTTGATTCATGGAAATTAGTAACTTCATTTGATTTTGTGTTTCCTTTGCTGCACTTTTTAATTTGTTTTTCATCAGTAGCTTGCCTTTATTTGCCTGGACTGAACATTCTTCTTTCTTTACCCCTGTTCATTGCAAACAGCCACGAGGCAAATGTAATGTCTCACAGCCTGGACCCTCTGTCAGCAGTCCACACAGCAGGTACCTTATTCTCCTGGTTTCTGCACTCTGATCTAGAACTTCAAGAGGATGATGGAAACTGTCCATGATATGTAACTGTGCACATTTAATCTGATGAAAAAAGACATCAAGCAGTTTAAGTGTAGGCTTTCTCCTACAAGTATCAAATTACACTAAGACAAAATATTGCACTACAAGCCCTCAATAGTATTCTGCTTTTGCTTCCAATGAACTTCAACCTACATTTAAATTATTTAGATGCCTTTGATTAAATGGATGTATGCATTGCATCCATCATTTTGCCACTAAGAAACTACTGGCAGATCTATGCTTAGGTCCATGGCAAAGACTTTTATCATCCTCTTTGTTTCTAGATGTTAAGTTATGGCAGGTATTAGACCAATACAGTATATCAGAATTCACAAAACCCGCAAATCTGAAAATGAAAAAAATCCTCTTAAGATTTGCCTCCTTTATTTTCAAGTTTGTAAAGTTTTGTTCAGTTTGCGGGTTTTCATATTTAATGACTCCAGGCACAATCCAAAACCTGAGATAACGCTGAAAATGAAGATTTGGCAGCAGCACATCTTTTTTTCTCCACTGTGAGACAACTTCCTTGCAGATGCAATATACTAACCTTAGTAAGGTGCTTGCAGACACAGGGCATGATGAGAGCAGCACACCCCCTCTTTGTGCCAGCACTTGAGAGTAGAGTTAACAGCTGTAGCTTCCAGCTTTCACCTTGTGACCAGCAACCTGTCTTCTCTGCAGCTAACAGTGCTTCTGCATTCTGGCATTGTCAGTGTGATATATTTATGTATCTATAGATATATACATGTCTGTGTGTCTGTGTGTGACCTTTTTACCAATCAACAATTCACTCTACCTTCTTGCCCCTTCCTTCTTTGTCTGGCCTGAAATAGAGCTCCAGAAAATGCACATTTATATTCTACGTCCCTGTCCAATGTTGACATCTGTTGTTGTTTTTAATAACAGGAACCTGACAATGCAGATAGAGATTGAGAGAGAGAGATACAGAAATGAACATACCCTGAAAATGTAGCTCACACCAACAACAGTACTACTGTCTGCCATCCCTTGCAGTGAAGCCCACTAAAAGTTAGAAAGGCTTGGGTCCCATTGATATCAATGGAGCTAAATTGTGCACCTAAATGTCGTGTTCCAATTCATTTCAGTGGGGATGGCATGCCTAGCATTTCCTGGATTGTACCTTATTTTATTTGGACCCCTTGAATCTAAAAGTATGGGAAGTGCGACAGAAATACATTTTATACAATAAATCAGCCAGTCAAACAAGCATAGAATAAATCAATCACAAGATAAATCAAGGGCGCTCATTCCTTTGCAAACCACATTTTTCTCAGCAAAACGCCATTGTGAAATGAATAGGAGGGGAGAAGGAATGCTAATGCTAATCCACTATCCGCTTCTTGCCACATGTCATTTATAGTCCCTTAAAGTTTTACACCCATGCACAGCTTGTGCCTTTTGAATTGTGACAAGCATCAAGTGACTGAAAGAGGAAATGTATTCAGTGCTCCACAAAAAGTGCCCATCCACTTTGCAGTGTCAAAATCAATTGGTTGAAACTCAAAAATATATTAGAGGAAGGTATTCTGGAAAACTACTTGGTTGCTTTATGGAGCTCAGAATAATACCAAATAACTCTAAATTTCAGCTATATAAAAGTAAAATAAATTTTAAAAGACTCATAATTAAAACAAAAATGTGTTGGTAGCTTCGATTAAAACAAAACAAAAATATGTTTCTGGGCTTTTTGGCTATTCCAGTTTTACCCACCCTCATATCTCGGTCTTGCCTTCATAAACAAAAATGAATTCAAATCCCAGAGGTCATGTGACACATGAAGTAGAACACATTTCAGAGTTTTCCAAAATTTTGCTTAAATGTATAAAATATCTGGGACTACCTCTTAGTTGCCTCCTGTTGTTGTCAAGAAAGAAACTTAAGGAAAAACTATTTGTTTCCAATCCGTATGAGGCAGGACCTTATTTTTCACACAAAGGGGGGAAAGACTGCTTACTGAACAAAAACAAAGCATTGCTTTTTCTGACCAGTCTGTGAAATGAAGTTGCATTTGGGAAGATGGTACCAGTAGGGCTTGCTGTGTACAACAACTTTCCTCTTCCCTCTTCCTCCACACACACACACACACATGCACACGCCTCCTTTTTAGAACGTTCTGGCATTGAAAGAGCCGGCCACTGGCTCAGCATGCGCTTCACCACCACTTTGCAGCTTTAGAGCCTGCCTATGTTCTAACTGTGGCATCTATGCATCTTTCTCCAGCACTGTTTATTAACACATCTCTTAGCAGAACAACACAATAGACAATTTGTCATTCAGTCAAGCACGGAATACAAATGGGTTTTCTACTGAATAAGGAAGTTAATCAAGCATGGGAGCCAGACGGGTTGCAGTTGATGTGTAATGTGGTTTTGACTGATAAAGAAGTACAAGCTGTCACTGTGTTCTTTTAATAATCTGGCCTGCCTCTGATCTGAGTACCTTGTGTTTGATCTTGCACTGGATCAGCAATCCTTGGGAGACTAGACACATAAAAGGAGACCAAGGTATTTAACCCGTAGAATTTTGCTGTTGCAAATTTAAAAGGGCAGTGGTTTTAAATGCAAACTCGTCTGGAAGAAGCTGCATCAGACCAAAGGACAGGTACTGTCAAACTACGCATTGCCTACAGTTCAGCCCTTCCTATGGACCCTGGCTTTCTCACATTGGTGTGTTTTGGGTGGTGCAAAACACCTATGTTGGCAGGGAACAATGCATATACCATGGTACCTCAGGTTAAGAACTTAATTCGTTCTGGAGGTCCATTCTTAACCTGAAACTGTTCTTAACCTTGAGGTACCACTTTAGCTAATGTTGCCTCCTGCTGCCGCCACGCAGTTTCTGTTCTCATCCTGAAGCAAAGTTCTTAACCCGAGGTACTATTTCTGGGTTAGCGGAGTCTGTAACCTGAAGTGTCTGTAACCCAAGGTACCATTGTATGTGGTGCAGCAATAAAATTGCTAGCACATTTGCATAGCTCAGCAGGGTCCGATATAGCTTACTAGAACTTCAGGTTAAGCAGCACTTAGATGCTGCTTTATGCCATAGATAGATAGATAGATAGATAGATAGATAGATAGATAGATAGATAGATATAGAGTTATCTACTCCAGGATATTGGGTTTTGTCAGGATAAAATCAAAATAAACAAATGAAATGTTGCATAAAGGAATGGATATTCTCCCCCATGCCATCAGTAATTAGCACAAAAATACCCCAATGATGTATATCAATATCCAAAACTATTCATGAGACTTGGTATTACCAGCAGTGGCAGATGGAGCTGCACACATATTCAGAGATTTTTCCTGCCATAGCCAACAGTCGAGAGACCTTTTCAAGCAGAGCTGTATCACTGGATTGCAGCCATAGGCTTGAGTCAATATAGATATTTTATGAGATAAAAATGTTAGAGATTAGAGTAATTGTGTCCTTTTCTCCGAAGTGTTTACCCTATAGGATCCCTAAAAGGTCTTGGCGCCAGTGATTCAGTCTGTAGTCTCAGAACCCATTAATCAAGTGCTACATTCTTCTACCTCACTTTTCATTCCCAATAATAATCCAGACTTGAAGATTCATCTTGGCTTTCACAGGAAGCAAGGCAGTGGGTATATGAGCAGAACAAACATTTTGTGATCAGAAATCATTTTTATGCACAATTGTTAGTTGTAGCTTTGTCCACGATTCCAAATGCCCTCGTTCAGCCATGTGCAACATGTGTCTCAATCTACTTCAGATGAAGAAACTACGAATGAGACCTTAGTGATAGGCAAAATCAGCAGAGCTATTACAAGTGATGATTGATTTAAAAAACCTTTACAAAGTGTCAGATCAAGTGTTACTCCTACTGAACTGCACAATAATATTGCATATCTAGTTACAGATAGGTAGCCGTGTTGGTCTGCCATAGTCAAAACAAAAAAATTCCTTCCAGTAGCACCTTAAAGACCAACTAAGTTAGTTCTTGGTATGAGCTTTCGTGTGCATGCACACTTCTAGTGCACACGAAAGCTCATACCAAGAACTAACTTAGTTGGTCTTTAAGGTGCTACTGGAAGGAATTTTTTTTGTTATTGCATATCTACTGAGTGAATGCAACATTTCGCAAAAGAAAAAAGAAATTTAATACACAGCTTTGGTAGATTACAAATACATGCAATTAACAAAGGTGTTCCAGGGTAGATGTTGCCCAGCCCAGCATCTGCATATGAAACTGCCTCATACGGAGTCTGACTTATCCCCAAAGGCTTGTTTTGATCTCAATAGACTCACCTCTGCCAGCCCTATGATTTCAGTAACCACAGCTCAATAATTATTAATGAACCCATTAGTGTATAAATTCTTCTGGTTACATATAAAAATATGCTAAAAATTGGCCTTTCAAAATTGGTTCCCTAGAAACTGGAAATATATGACCATCATTTTGATGCCTCTCTTACAGCATTAAAAAACCTAGGATGTGCATAATGGTGCTCTCTTCCTGATAATTCTGGAGCACTCTTAGTAATTACAGTATTTCAGACATATAATTCCTTGTCCTTTGTATATGGATGTAAATTGTACATTGTTATAATGGATGTGTATGCTTCTCTTATAGAAATATGCATGGGGTAGTATGGGGTAGAGGGTCTCCCTGCCCCGCCCCCTTTTGAACTAACGTGTGTAGTAAAGTAACTATTATCGTAAAGGCAGCTTTAGCAACAGTGTTCCTTGCTCCTTCCACCAGTCTTTTTGTGGTGCATTCGAATCTGGCATGAGCCGATTTGTTTGTGGTGTTGGGATTTGAGCTATATGACGGGGTCCACTTCCAGATGAAGTGTATAATGAGCAATCATCCTGATTTGTTTTCTCAAAATTTATGTGGAAGGTATATGGCATCACCACTGGTGCACTTTCCAGTGTAATTTCCCAACACTTTTCTTGCTGCAAGAAGTCCAGGCGTGCGTGTTTGTTGTTGCTGAAAGCAACATTTGTTGGGCAAGAGCACCAATTAGCCATTGGTATTTATCACAAAGTGCCCACTTCACAATGGGTTATGAAGGTGCCACCCATATGGCCCCGAGGTCACATACTGACATCTACCCATTGTTTGAGAGTTCCATGGAAAAGTGCAACAACCCAGAAGTGTTCTCAAGTGGCTTGGAGCTTTACAGCTCTATTAATAAGTCTATGAAAAACATAAACGCCAGACAGTTTGTCAAGGGCTTTGTAAATCTCTGACCACATGAAATAAAGAAACAACATAAATAATTAATAGTGTCTAAATATCTAGGCTGTGTACAGAACAAAAAAGCAAACATGCCCTGCCCAGATTTTAGAATCTAATATACACAACAACAAAAAACTATAAAATGATTGAACAAAGCAATGAAGAAATTAAAGCCATAGTGCCTTTCCCAAAAAGGCTAGCTTAAACAAGTTGGTGACAGTCATTTAAAAAGGGAGAGAGTTAACCAAGTGTAATCTGGCTATGAATCCCATAAATAAGATCAAAGGCTTTCAGATGCTTTTAAGTATCTTGCCAGATCCTGCACCCACAAAATGTGTTCCAGACAGGTAGGGACCCTTCAGAACAGCATGGAAGTTAACTCGGGGATTAAAACATTGGATTTCAACCACTGTACCTAGAACAGGAACATGAAATTGTGTCTATAAAGACAAGGAAGAAAAGCAGAACCCTGAAAACCAATATTATATGCAAAAGAGAGAAACGGACAGTGCTTTAAATAAAGCAATATCAAAAGCTGGATACAAATTAAGAGTAAGAAAGAAAAAGAAGATTAAGGAAAGCAAAGTAGTTTCTATTGCATGATAGATCAGGAAACAAAAGTTAAAATAAGAAAAAGGGGAAAAATAGAGTCAGATAATTTCTAAAAATCTAAGAGCACACCATCAAGCAATTTAGAAATAAATGTAAAAAGAGAAACAAAATAATAATTAGCTGAACTAGATGAATTGGAGAGGTCTATTTAAAAAAAAAATCTGGAAAAGGTGATACAAATTTAAATTCAGATGAAAAAAGGCCAGTAGCTGAAGAAAGATCAGTGTTTTAATAATATGTCATGCTTATTTTTGGGTAGGCTTATGAAGTTTGTTGAATTAGGACTCAGAAAGGAACTTTGAACATTTATAAAACCTGCCTCAAGGGAGAAACAAGCTTTATAAGTTCCAAAATGCAGTCCCAACTTAAATTAAGTTTTATCTAAAAAGTGTCAACAGGATTTTCAGCCTATGTAAAAATGGCTTGCATTTTTAATAACCTTTTTATTTTGCCCTTTCCCCAAGTGTCTTGGGTTGGCAAACATGGGTTCTACTGTTTTGTCCTCTCAAATTTATGCAATTTTAACCCTTTGAGATACATTAGGCTAAGAGATCAGGTCAGACCCAAAATTCCTGCATTGCAAGGGTTGGACTAGATGACCCTCTGGGTCCCTTCCAACTCTACAATTCTATGAGTCTCATCACTACAGCAGAATCTGAACCCAGTTCTCTCCACTCTGCACATCAACAGGATATACCAGCCTTATCACAACCACAGAGAGGTAGGAGCACAAATTGTTTTGGAATGGACTTACTCTCCCCCCCCCCAAGAAATATTTCCGATTGCCTTCTTTTATAGACAAGGCTTAAGGGCAGCAGAATGCCAAGTGGTTCTAGAACTTAAGCATTTTGGAAGATGGTGTTATTGTTCAATGCTTGGGGGAAGGATAGAATGCAGATGGTAATTCCACATACAGTGCAGTTTTTTTGCTAGTGGGAGAATCAGGATTCTGCTTCCTGATCTCAATTCCTCACTGTACCTTAATACTGTTTGGAGGTGATGTCTGTACATGGGGTCTGTTCTATTATTGCACAATCAGAGCTATGATAGGTTATATGTGCATGCCTGTCCCAAATGCCACCTCCAGTATGTAGACACTGGGCCAGCAGGCACAATTCTGGACACATACAATGCACATAAGGCTGCGGAGTAAGTAAAAGCCATGTGAGAAAACAGTCACAGTTAAAGGCTGTGCAGCCTAAGATGGCAGTTGGGCAGCACTACCTGTTCCCTTTGTCTATACCTAAGCCCATTAACTCCTCAAGCTGGCATTGTCAGACGCTCGAAGGCTGGGTCTAATTGAACTTTAATATAGAATGCTCTGATGCTGTTAAATGTGCCATATCGTTTTGATGCATTCATAATAGAAGGCTGCATACTTAATAACAGACTAAGCAGCTTTCCATCCTAGTTTCAGCGATGTGCCTGTAAATAATCTGCCACCTTTTGTTTTTGATCTTGGACCTCTTGTCAGCTCTCTCATCTCAAACAGTTAATCATTTATTAGCTTTGAACATTCAGGTCTCCATTAGTCAACTAAAAGTAGCCAACAGAACTTCCTGGTTTACTTGAGGATTTTGAAGGGTGGGAAGATATGTGCCCATAATTTGTCCAGTGGCAACAAAAGACTTTCTCCCCACCCCTACCCTCATCATCCTTGCAATGATAGCAACTGGAGATGCAGTTGCTTTGATTAATCACAAGGCAGAAGGGTGGATATTATTTCCTGGCTGAAATAAAAAGAATCCTTGTTAGGACAAGCAACAGTCTTTCTGTTAATTTGTACTGCATTCTTTTTTCCAGGGTAGTAAATTATACTCAAAGAGGAATGGTACATCTGAAGTTCCACATTTGGTTTTAATTGCTGATTCAGTGCAAAATGAGCTACACTGTACTGTGCAATCTAAAATCCTTCTAATTGGATATTGGCATACTTACTGTGATCCTGACATTGGGGGGGGGGGAAATACTTGGGCTACACTCCTTAAGAAATATTGTTGATCAGTAGCATGGATCGTGACTGATATACCTGATGGGTGACTGATGTAGTGGTGTTATATTTGGGAGAGAGGGTAGCATACTACTTTAAATAGTTATGTATGGGATTTCTAATACCCAAGTAGTCTTTTCGAGTAACTAGAAAATGTCCACTTTAATGTAAAATGCATTTGGAATCTCTAAATCATGAAAGTCTCATGGATATTTCAGGCAGCATCTTGGCCTGGGTGTCATTTCACAGTAATGCATTGGTTTATTTCTGTATTGGATTGTCTCTTTAGGTGCACAAGAGATGGGTTAGATTCCTCCCATTCTGAGGTTCAGCCAGTTCGGCGGCGGCGGCAGCAGCAGCAATGCTTCTTCCTCAGGGTCCTCCGAGCCGCTCTCCCACTTCAGCTCCTCTTGCTGTTCTTAATTGGTCTTGCCTGCCTGGTGCCAATGACGGAGGAAGACTATAGCTGCGCCCTCTCCAATAACTTTGCACGCTCCTTTCACCCCATGCTAAGGTATACTAATGGCCCGCCACCTTTATGAAGCAGCTGGAAAGACGACAGAGAAGCTTGTATCAAACGCAGGTACATGCACTGCAGAGTAGTTCTCCTTGGACACATAAATAAGTCAACTTGGCACTAAGTTAAATATGTATCAGTACTAAAATGAGTCATGCACTATGTGAGTAGCATTGTTTAAAACTCACATCTCTGGCACTGAAAAGGCTATGAAATAAGTGATAGAATATTTTTCCTTTTTTGCCAATATTCTGGACTTCTCAGTCACTTTTATAATTTGGGCCAGTGCCCTGTACTATGCATAGACAAGGACTTCAGTCTGAAAGAAGATATTTCCCATGTGCAGCTCATAAAGATCTATTACTCAAACTTTCATTATCTGCATTATTGGTATTTTACAAGTATACACACACTCATAGAATCATTAAAAACCAAACTGTGCTAAAGAGATTCTAGAGACTATTGTAACATAAATTTTAAGGAGATTGCAAGGCCATGTATTATTTCCCCATTTTTTGTGGGGTTTTGGGTGGAGCATGATGTTCTAACCTTCGCTTTGGATGCACAAGCTGTAAATCAGAACAGCACTTTTTATAGTTAAAAAAAGTAATGGATGTAATAAATAAATCATGGAAGGCTTTATGAACAAAAATCATGAATGTTAAGTATTAAAAAAGAAACATATTTATGTATGTACAGTTTGCTAAAACTAGTTTTGTTGTATTGATTTCTTGTTATAGAAAACCATGAAATTTTTGTCTATGTGCTTTTTAAAAATTATTTTGGAGCAATATATAAGCAAAATGTCAAGGCCAAATTTCTCAGTCTCTTTCTCTCACTCTCTCTCTCTCTCTCACACACCCCAAATACATTATCAAGGCCATGGGAATCTATTTAGAAATATACAGGGCAAGCACGGTTATGAATAGTTTTCCAGATATTCTGGTCTATAGGAAAAGTGTTGAATTAAAAGAATGGTCTAATTCATAAGGGCTATCTACATGAGGAAATACTTTCACAACTGTGTGATGCTCAATATATATCTATATAATTTAAGCATCTAAAATGGACTATTAAATTGCAGAGCCAATTTGTGGCCTAAATTTCCTGGCAAGAACTACTTGCCTCTCCTCCCAGTGGGTGGGGGCAGGGGATTGGGCGCCCATTTCCGTGCGGCTGAAGGGGGGGGCTAATTTCCTTCCCCAATGGTGTCTGCTTCTAATGGCCCGTCTGTGATTCCAGCCAAACAGGTTGGCGGGGGCGGGGAGCGTTGTTGAGGCTTCAGGGTAGACTCAACTTTCTTGGAGAGAAAGTTCCACATTCAAGGTGCTGTCATTGAGACAGCCCTGCCTCAGAATATCATTATTGACAGGATATATAGAGCAGGGTCTCCCCTGCTGACCTCAGAGCATATCAGTAAGTACCAAAGGATGTGCTCCTTTAAGTACGTCATTTAAGGCTTTGTACATCAGTATCAATGTCTTGAACTGGACATAGTAGCTCATTGGCAGACTGTCGTCAAGGTTAGCCCCATATAGACTGCATTGCAGCAATTCAGGCTATTAGAGCAAGGATTACAGTCATACTGAATGACCTAGCCAGAGCTAGGCATAGGCACTCCTTTTCACTGAGGCCCCCTGAGCCTCTTGTGGCAACTTTGCGTCTAGGAGAACTCCCAAGCTATGTACCTGTTCCTACAAGGCTGTTTTGATGCCTTACCCAGACCTGAAGTCAGACATAGATAGATCTAGATAAAACATTCCATCCAATAACATTTGCATTTCCTTAGCCATCACTTTTCCAACTTGCCCAAGAAAGGGACATTAGCAACACGGTAATGGTTGATAATACCTCAGTTTACAGGGGTGGGCTCTTCAGGAGGAGATTGCACCACCACTGCTTTCAAGACTGGTCTATGCTGAAGATGGGCTTGACAGTCATTCCCTTGAATTGTTGTGCTCAACAAAGCTAGAATCTCCAACATATTTCTTTGCTCTTCACCAAACAATTATCAGTGCTGTGTGGGAAGCCATGAAGGAATAAAACTGATCTATCCCTCAGAGTGTGATTAGAGCTGAACTTTTTACAGCCAGACAATATTAAGACTTCATACTAGAAGGAAGTCTGCAGTGCACTTGGTAAAGTTTAAGGCAAACTCTATTTCAGCTTCTGTTCAGTTTTCTCTATAGCTTCTTTCACACTCATGGCAATAGAATTACATTCATCTTCTGCTGTTCCTGGCCCATGGCTCTCCAGTCGGCCACAAGCCACAATTTGCATACACTTGTACACGTCTATTGGCATTAATCAGCCAAAACTGGAATTCAGATTATATGAGGATAACTTAATCTTTCATGGGAAGTTGTTGTGGGAGGCAAAGGGAAATAGGTAGATGAATATGCAGTTGTATATTTATTCAGATATTGCGCTCTAGTAGAGCCAAGGCATAGGTTTACACACTAATTTATAGCTCTGCAGAGCATCATCATTCTCTCCTTTCAACAAAAGGGAAATCGTATGCACAGCTGGTTAAACTGTTGACAAAAACACCTCTGTTTTCATGACACATATTTCATGTAAGGCATTTTTGTTCTTTGTAGACTTTTGAGGAATGTTAAAAGATGGGCACCAGTTCCTCCCCACACATACATTAAAAGAGTGCATGAAGTGCATGAAGCAGAGTCATAGGGCTGTGTGGCTTAGCCACCGCTTTACCCATAATGTCAAGAAGCAGTGTGCACTTACCAATGTAGTTGTGTAGCACTCCTCCACTCAAGGGGGGGGGGGATTTGACCTAATCAGTGTCTCTCCTCCTATGGAAGAGCCCTAAAGAAACATAGAGGTAGGGGGGAAGTATAAGATCAGGAAAGTACATAAACAACACAGTAACAAAGCAACATGAAGCCTTGTGGGGGCCCAAATATGACTAGGGGTGGGATGTGTGTCCACTAGGCGGAAGGTGAAATACCTGTTTTCACATCTCTGCCTAATGATACTCTAGTAGTGTAGCCGTCCTGATCTATATAAGGGCAGACAGTCTTTCAGGTATCCTGGTCCCAAGTTGTTCTGGGCTTTATATGTTAACTACAAGGCCTTTAACATGAAAACTAATTGGCAGCATGGGACATGCCTAGGATCAAGGCAGCAGGAGATGACAGAGTATAGATCTGTGGATCTGGCAACAAGGAGATTATAACAAGTAATTTAATGAAGATTTTGCAATCTCCAACCATAAATCTTGAGGGTGGGCCAGCAACACTTCCTTGCATGTGTGCTAGCTCCCTTGCATAGCAGAGTGGTGATCACAGTTGCATTTTCATCATCTAGTCTTTGCATATATTGTAAGGGTAACTTTTTCTGCAGGCAGTCTGCTGTAAGGGTATAGACTCCTCACATTATAGGTGCTGGATTATCCTAGTAATGCATGAGAGGCGTGTGGCCTGGCAAACACAGATGTGAGAAAAGGGTTGGAGCCAGGGAGCATGAGCCCAGTCTCCCCCCTTCCTGCAATTTAAACCTTGTGGGAGAAAATGCCAGAATAGGCTTGTTAACATATCTAAATCTACAGTGGTACCCCGCAAGACGAATGCCTCGCAAGACGGAAAACCCGCAAGACGAAAGGGTTTTGTGTTTTGGAGGCGCTTCGCAAGACGAATTTCCCTATGGGCTTGCATCGCAAGACGAAAGCCCATAGGGAAATGCTGGCGGTCGGGAGCAAAGACTTTCGCCCACAGCCGGCCTTCAGAAGAGGACCTCTTCTGAAGGCCGGCGGGGGGCAAAAGTCTTTGCTCCCCCCCGCCTGCCTTCCCCCCGCCTGCCCGGGGCGATCTTAAAATGCTGGCGGGCGGGAGCGATGCGTTCGCTGCCGACCCCCAGCATTTTAAAATCTCCAAGGGACAGCAGAGAAGTCTCTGTCCCGGGGAGATTTTAAAATGCTGGGGGTCGGGAGCGAAGCGTTAGCTGCTGACCCCCAGCATTTTAAAATCTCCCCCTGTCCCGGGGAGATTTTAAAATGCTGGGGGTCGGGAGCGAAGCTGCCGACCCCCAGCATTTTAAAACGCTGTTCCGAAGGGGGGGGTGGGGACACCTGCCCCAGCCGCCCCACTTCGGAAAGCTGTTCTGAAGCGGGGAGGGGGGGCGGGGACATCTGCCCCAGCCGCCCCACTTCGGAAAGCTGTTCCGAAGCGGGGAGGGGGGGCGGGGACACCTGCCCCAGCCGCCCCACTTCGGAAAGCTGTTCCGAAGCGGGGAGGGGGGGCGGGGACACCTGCCCCAGCCGCCCCACTTCGGAAAGCTGTTCCGAAGCGGGGAGGGGGGCGGGGACACCTGCCCCAGCCGCCCCACTTCGGAAAGCTGTTCCGAAGCGGGGAGGGGGGGCGGGGACACCTGCCCCAGCCGCCCCACTTCGGAAAGCTGTTCCGAAGCGGGGAGGGGGGGCGGGGACACCTGCCCCAGCCGCCCCACTTCGGAAAGCTGTTCCGAAGCGGGCAGGGGGGGCGGGGACATCTGCCCCAGCCGCCCCACTTCGGAAAGCTGTTCCGAAGCGGGGAGGGGGGCGGGGACATCTGCCCCAGCCGCCCCACTTCGGAAAGCTGTTCCGAAGCGGGGAGGGGGGGCGGGGACATCTGCCCCAGCCGCCCCACTTCGGAAAGCTGTTCCGAAGCGGGGAGGGGGGGCGGGGACATCTGCCCCAGCCGCCCCACTTCGGAAAGCTGTTCCGAAGCGGGGAGGGGGGGCGGGGACATCTGCCCCAGCCGCCCCACTTCGGAAAGCTGTTCCGAAGCGGGGAGGGGGGGCGGGGACACCTTCTGAAGGCGGGCAGGGGGCGAAAGTCTTTGTCCCCCCTGCCTGCCTTCCCAGGGGCTTTTAAATCGCCCCAGACAGCGGAGAAGTCCTCCGCTGTGCGGGGCGATTTTAAAATGCCGCCCGCCAGCATTTTAAGATCGCCCCGGACAGCGGAGAAGTCCTCCGCTGTCCCAGGGTTTTTTAAAATGCTGGGGGTGGGAAGAAAAGCCCTTGTCCCCCCCCCAGCCTTCAGAAGAGGTTCGGGGACAGACTGTCCCCGGACCTGGTCTGAAGGCGGTTTCCCTAGGAACGCATTAATTGATTTTCAATGCATTCCTATGGGAAACCGTGCATCGCAAGACGAAAAAACCGCAAGACGAAGAGACTTGCGGAACAAATTAATTTCGTCTTGCGAGGCACCACTGTATCAAGATACAAAGGTGTTTGGGGGAAGAGGCTAAAAGAAAACCAGCACCATATAAATTCATATTTCTCTCCTAAAATGCTTTACTGGTAGTGTAAACAACTGTTCTACTGAAATGTGCGGCCTGTGATTTTACACACACATTGAGCATACAGGTTATTTCCAAAACTACAGGTAAACCAGGGAAATGGTAACGGCACAGCTGTGATAGCAATAACCCAATTGTGGGGGGTGGAGGCAGCTGTGGTTATAGCAAAGTCAGAAACAGAAAAATGCTGAAAGCATAGGCTGGTTTCTGTTTAGTTTATCCCAAAATATCCCTGCAAGTTTTCAACTTCCTTAAGTCCCTCACCACCAAATTCTGCCCTCTCACCAAGCAAAAACATATGCTTCTCCCTCGGCTTCCTGCTTGTATGTGATCACTTCCTCTCTCAGTGTTGTTTTGAGGTGGTGGAGAGGAGCTACAGCTGGAGGGCAAGCTCAATTGCTCCCCTTCATTGCCACCTGCCATGGTTTTCCTCCTCTGTGTAGCTTGCAATATTCACTGTGGAGTTCAGGAACCCAGCAAAGCATAGAAGATGCTAGAAGGTGAGCACACAAATAAACAGCCTGCAAGGAAACAAAGGTGGAAGAAACTGGGCAGTGATTTTTGAAGAAGTCCTTCTCCCTGAGGTACGTAATTTCTGCTTTTCAGTTGTTTAGAGCACTGTGGTCAGGGTGAAGCGTCATTTTCCTGCTTGGAATGAGCAGATACTTACAGTATTTGAAAATGTGGTTGATTAACATAATTTGATATTATACTAAGGATTCTTAGGCCTCACTCATAATGGTGAATAATACTTCCAATTAATTCAACAAGCTGAAATTTAGCTCACAAGTTCCTCAAGTTACCCTGGTGACCAGAACGATTATGAAAAAGGGAGCCTTGTATGTTTCTGCTTGTATGTTGCCAAACATGTTTCTTCAAAAGGTGAGGGAATTTCCTCACAGCCCAGGAAGCTGAAATTTGAAGCACCTGTAGGCCAAGACCCCTGGGATTACTTTTTTTTAAAAAAAGCCTGAACAAAAAAATGTGTCTATATACCTGCCTCAAAAAATGGCGCATGAAGTGAAACTTCAACAGGAGTCAGCTAATAGTTAGAAACTAACTGTACATACAGCCCCCCCCCTCAATTACTCGAAGTCTGAGGGGGGAGTCATTCTTAACCAAATAGTTAACATTTACAGGGCAGAATAGCCACAGGTGGGCTGTATAATGTTGGGTTGTGGTAGTTCCATTGCCCTATCACACACCTGCGTGTCAGCAGCTAGAAATGTGCTATCTATGCTTGCAGAGTGCAGGCTGAATTTACAGTGTGCATGAGGATATGGAACAAGTCCCAGCTGAGGTCAGTCAAACAGGCAATTGACAAAAGCACCATTTTGCCATTGTCTCCTGCTTGACATTTGGGGATAAACTTGGGAAATACATTGGAGCTCTGAGTCCTAAACTTCAGTTTTGGGGGCAGGGCCAGTAACAGAGGAAAGGAGAAAACGAAATTGTGGGTGAAGTAGGTCTGTGTAAGTGTATTGGGGCAGGTGGTGGTGGTGGGGTTATCCCTTGTTAATTTTTTGCAAGGCTGGTGGATATAAGCTGAATAGTTGCAGAGTCTACAGGAGCACAGGGAAGATAATTAGAATATGCTAATTCATCCCAGCCCTTCAATTGTACTCAGTAAATTTATCTTTATAGTATCCACTTAATTTCCAGCATTGTTGTGATTGTGTGTTTCGCTTAATTTATATTTTACTAAATTTCCTGAGAGTTGCATCCAAAATGTCAACATTTTAGTAGCATTTAATGCTGCAGTAGATAATGCTTGCTGTGTGTTGAATTTAAATAAGGAGAAAGGAAAGAAACCGATGAGAGAGCCCACAGCTTAGTGGTTGAGTATATGCTTTGCATGGAAAATGGTTCGGATTTACTGTTGGCTATCTCCGTTTAAAAAGGGTCAGCACAGCAGGACTAGGGGAAAAACCAGAGATCTTGAAAAGCTCATGCTAGTCAGTGTTAGCTACTTCTAGGCAGAACCAGCTCAGTGTTAAAGCATCTGCTTTCTATGCAGGACATATGTTCAATCCTTGGCACTTCCAGGTAAGACAAAAAATGAAGGTTCAAAGCTTTATTCTTTAAAATCAATATTACACAGTTGGGACTTTTCCTTCTGAAAAGTCCTAGAAACAGGTGGCTGGAGAGTGTAGTGAATGTATAACTTTCCTTAGCACACTAACCATATTTCATGGGGTACAAAGGATGGGGTACACACACACACACACACACACACACACACACCTACTCCCCTGCCAAAGACTGGGTCTGTGACAAGTAAAAATGGGGGGGGGGGAGAGATATGAATGCTGCAGACACATGTCCTTGGATTTCTGTTGTTTAAGTCTTCCCTGAATTGTAATCCTTTTTTGTGAATTGTAATCCTTTTCCCAATTGGTCTTCTTAGTCTTCTTAGTTACTCTAGATCAGGCATGGCCAAACTTGGCCCTCCAGATGTTTTGGGACTACAACTCCCACCATCCCTAGCTAACAGGACCAGTGGTCAGGGATGATGGAAATTGTAGTCCCAAAACATCTGGAGGGCCGAGTTTGGCCATGCCTTCTCTAGACCTTCTCTGCAATTGGTTTCTCTGCCTTGGCTTCTACATCCAAATTGCCTTTTCCCAGTTGGCACTGGGGCAGAACTGCCGTTATATACACATGGAATGGTGAAGCATAGTCCTATCCTACAAGATCTAGAATGCAATTGGTTGTGAATACAGCATAGCCAAAAACCAAGTTTGTCTCACCATTGTTCTCTTCACATGCATGGGAATAGCCTCAGTTTTGTGTAGGTCCAAAGTTTGTAGCAAAGAGCATAGTAAAGAGTAAAAGCGCATATTGGTGACACTGCTCATCTGCTAGGCCAAACCTATTTCTTATCTACTCCTGTAAGCAAAATCCATTCACACACAAACAAACGCCTCTGGAATGTTGTTTCCAAGCAACTACTAAAGCTTATCTGTTGTTCTTGAGAAGTTGCTAAAACTTCAAGGCTGCTTCATGCAAAAGTTAAACGTCTAACTGGATCGCAAACACAGCTTCAATAATAATGAAAGAATAGAATACAGTAAAGAGATTTGATACATGTTTTATAAAGCATAATATGTGAATATCATAAGCTTAAATTTCTATAATAAACATGCTTTGGGCTTATTGTGGTTGACAGTTTACTGAAATAATATCTGAAGATACAGGATGCATTTTAATTGTAACACTAGAGAGGGGCCTTATATTCTGGGGAGGTTCTCACTATGCTGCAGAAAATTCATTGAGCAGAGATCTACCACTGTCATTGTACCCACTAGTAGTATAATTCAGCATGAATGTCTGAAAGTAAATAGCTCACCCATCTGTAATAAGACACATACCCACATAATTTTTAATTCCTGCAATAAAAGAGTAATAATCACCCAGGTGAAAATTTATGTCAGCTTCAATATTTGAAATATATATATAAGAAAATACCCTGGAAATTACTTATATGGAATATATACTTTTTTAAAAAAAACACACAATGTAGACATAGTCTGAAATATTTTGAAAGAAGGACAAGTAGGAACTACTCAAATCCATCAAAAGCAACTCGGTTCAGACCATGGTTGTCTTATCAGATTATTTCATTATTAAAAGTTGGAGCAATTAATTTAATTTACCTGGATGTTGGTAAACTGTTGACTCTGTCTTGAAAGAACTTGTTTTTGACCTATTAAAACAGGAGAATTATGATGCTCATAAATGTCATGTCTGTCTTCTGCTTGGTATCAGTCATATGTACAATCTCAAGTGGCACTCAGAGCCTGTTCCTCTATGAAACTGAATACTATATGCTCATGCCAGAATCTTGTTCACTCTCCGAATTAACCAAACAAACCACACCGTCATATACTAAGGAAGTCACAGGCAGTTATTGCTCAATCTCTGGTGGCAGAATGCCACTTCATTCTCTGAGAAGTTGGATGCTGATCTCATGGGTTGTGTATCTAGGTTGGTATTCCTGAATTTCATTTGATATTGACTCTGTGTCTTATAAAAATGATTTACTGAGCTTATGAAACTGAAAGGCAGTGAGAATATATTATGGGCACCATTCAGTGTTGTATATCAGTACTACACAAGTGCCACAACATGCCATGCATGCTCACCACTGCTGTTGCAATGGCCCAAGTGTTATCCAGGATTGGGGACCAGAAGCTTCCCTAAGCCCTGATCTAGAAAGAACCTGAATGTGCAGCACAATTCTGTATATGTTTACTTAGAAGTAAATCCTACTGGCTTTGATGGGGCTTGCTGCCAGCTAAGTGTGTATTAGGATTGCAGCTCTGGTCTGAGTACTGTGTGTGATCAGGCCAGATACTTAACTTACCTGGGCTGTGTCCACTCTAGGGCATTAATGTGTATGCCGGTCATTGTTTCCAGGTGCGCAATTGTGTGCACCTTCAGGTGCAAATGAGCGCTTTCAGTTTAATGCTTCTGAAATCGTTTTCAGTGTTTCCTGGCCACACTGGTGGGTGGTGCTTGGCAGGTTGTAATTGTGCTGTGTGTTCTTGCCTTTCCCCTCGATTAGTATTTCCCTGCCCCTCCCTAAGCCACAGAAACCAGAGATCCCCAGGGGGCATGTATGCGGGTATTTGCATGGGCATGCACACTTTTTTAAAAATTATTTTTTAAGTACAAGTTTCTCAACAGCAACTTTTGAACAAAAGAGCAGTCAACAACAATGATAAATGTGTGTGTTACTCCAAGCCAGGAAACATGAAGCCCATTATGGGTAATGTAGGTAGTTCCTTTATGCTAAAATATATCACAAAACAACAAGTAAAAAGAGAATTGGCACTGTTTGAACACACAATTCCAATGCCTAAATTTTTGGTAATTAGAGTATGGTGGAACTGTCTTGTTGGAGTAAGTATGAAAAGAGCCCATAGTCTTAAATCAGTTCTTCTTCCCTAGTTCCACAGTAATCTTTGTGGCAGAGACAGCTACTATGTGGTGGCAGCTATCCTGAGTTAAGTGCTAGTCTGAAAATTATTGTTCAGGAGTGTTAAAAATAACCTCAGAGAGTGTCTGCACATTGTGAAATGTGTGAACTAACCAGGGTTGTCCCTGGGATCATGATAGGCCAGAGATAGCAGCCAAAGGGCTCAATCTCCCATCTTATAGCTCCACAACGTCTGGTATTTTCGTCATTATCTTTCAGCACTGGCAACAGATACTAATGCTATAAAACAAAATTAATTATACCTCTAAATGAGTATGCATTGCACATGCCTGATTTTGTTTCAGGGTGAGCTGAGTTAAAGCAAGGAAACTTAAATCATTAAGATAGATTTATTCTAATTTAGAAGCAAGTCTGATTGGACAAGGGGAGACTTATTTGTCAGTAGGAATGTACAGGAGCAAGATGTAAACATATAGAATTTTCCACTAGCAAATGCTGGTAATATACACTGATCAATGGAGACATAAATATTAACAAGAATAGTCATAGTTTTAGTTAATATTACTGTTGCATGCCACCTCAGTCTCTGAATGGTGCAAGATTCCAGGGGCTCCAGTCTAAACAACTCATATATTCAAACTG